TTAATAGTTTAGGTGGTAATAAACATTTATATTGGTATTTTAAAAAGTTATTCTGTAAATGCAGAACTAAAAAAAAACCAAAACACAGTTTATTTTTTTAAATTGCTTTAAAAAGGTTGTTTACAGAGATGTGGGTTTACATACTTGGCGACATTTTAAAATGTACAGGCTATTTCATATTATTGCACTTACTCTTTAATATATAAGGCATTTTATTTTACATAAATAAGGGATAATGTATAATATACAACAGGTGTAGTGCCAATTAAGTCAACCATAAAATTAAATGAGATGTGTATGGTAGGACAGAAATGAAACCCAACCTACTTCAACCTTCACAATATATCCTTGCAACTACGATTTACATATTATAGCACATATTTACCCTCATAGCTTATTGTGAATGACTGACCAGTTAAAAAACCAAAACAACCAACGTTTTAAGAGGACAATACCATTAGTGTTCACTTCAGGAAGTGTGGGAATTTATTAGACTAATTAGAAATACTAGTCATGCCTTGAACACTGAAGACAAATAAATAGCTTTCTATCTTAGGGCCAAAGACAGTTTTATTTTTGCTTCCTCATGTTCCAGCTGTCAGCCAGGGACCCCTTCTGGCACGGTCTACTGGAAATGGTGGGCGGCTTTAACATATTTTAGTGAGCCAGAGGTCTGCCTTTGCTCTCTTCAGGTATGAAGGATAGGTGCTCTCAGAAGGAGACCATTCTGTTGTCCCACATTGCTCTAGAAAACTCCAGTCTGTTCACATAGGACTGTGCATTTCTAGTAGGCACAGCTGGAAGAGTGGAGGCAAAAAATGGTTTTCATTGTTAACTTCAAACAGTCTCTTGTCATTTAGGCAAGAAAACACAAAACTGACCCCAGAGACTTAAAAACAATCTAGCATGCACCTTGCACTGACTGTCTAGAGTATCCTACCTGGAACTGTAGTGAAAAGTAGAAGCTAAATTAATCTGATCTTTCTAGCTAATTCCTGTACTATGTTCTTTTTTATAACCTGTTAAAAAAAAAAAAAAACAAGAAATCTGAGCTCACACCAGCCAGATATTTCACTCCCATCTGAGAGGCCCCTCTGGCCCAACTCCACAGAGGTTCACTGGGATTGATCACTCAGAAAAACGATGTATGAAGGTGATAGCCCAAGTGCCTCTACGGTGTGGGGTGGGAGGTATAATGATTTGAGTTCTTTTCTCTAAGCCATACATATACCCAAGGTGCAGGTTATTTAAAATAAGCTCCAGCATAAAACCTTGGCGTCATCAGGTATGCAATCTCACCTGGATTCAATCAGCTGGTGTGCGCCACCCGAGAATTGGGGTTTTAACCTACATAGTTCTGCTCCTTTCCTTGGACGAGTGACTCACTCTCATTTTCGAGTTTCCTCCTCCTCATTACCTTTTGGCAAACGAAGCTGATGAGGGTTTGAAGTACAAGGGCAGAAAAGCTGCTGTTGTGACAACAGCTACTACAAAGTTCCTGCTTTGAAAGGAGAGCAGCTGGGACAGGCTTCACAAGCAGTGTGAGTCACGTGGTCTTTTGCAGGGAGACATTTTTGGTAGAAGGAAGAATTTGCAAAGTGGGAAAGCAAAAACTTCAGTCACTGCAGAGGTGTGTCGTTATACCCAGGTCAGGAAAAGCGATCCAGACTTAGGGATGTTACGTTTTTTTTAAGCTTGCTGGGAAAGGGCGGGGCGAACCAACAAAAAAAAGTCTCCTAAAAGGGTTAAGTTCCTCTATTTGCATGGTAAATATAATGCCTATGTTTATAAATCCAAGGATACTAAAAAGATAAGTTGATTTCTAAAAATTTAGTTTAAATTACTGGTTGGAGTACATGAAATATAGAAATGGAAACCCAGTGACTGTGATATTTTTGCCTGCTCTTGTCTTGAATTCAAGCACTTCTTCGACAAGTTCCAAACTTGATGCAAGGTGCTTTCCAAGCTGGAACTTTCTGCTCATTTTAAGCAGTGAAGTTCCTGACTACTTACAGTTTATCAGAACTGCATTTCTGTAAAACAGCCTTACGACTTACACTTTAAGGTCATGATCAACACTTCACGGTGATCAGTAACCCACTGAGTTGAACTCTGCATCCATACATTGCACATTATACTCACTAAAAAATAGCACTTTCTGTATTTTGCTTTTTTCATTTTTGGATAATTCCTGAGCTCTGCCTAACCTTTAGGTCATTAATTTTTTTTCTAATTTTCTTTTCAGGGCAATACACAGACCTACAGCTCTTTCCACTTGAATATGCCTAAAAGTGTTCTGTTATTTACTTACAAAATTATATAAAACTATAGTCTTTTTAGTTGTGACACTTAATTGCCAGGATTGGGCTTGTTGGGAGAGGTGGCAAAAAGGAAGCAAAAGTTTAGCTGAATGTTTCCAATGAGAAAGGGCCACATGCCACATCTTGTACCCCCATCAGTAAACACGAAAGGTAGGGGACAGGCACTAGAACCAGATGAGCCCTCCCAGCCTAGGTGATCCAGGTGGAAGGCTTCCAGGGTTCAGCTTCGTGACAACGTGGAGATTGTTACAGTCCTTGCCTATACCATGTGTCTCTGTTGTTGCAGGAACCCACTGTTTACAGAAATCATTCTGATTTGCTAAAGCAAGAAGAGAACTGAGAACAGGAGATTCTTATTTTTAAAAATGTGAGTATCCTTACTAGCGCTTGTTTCATGAAGAATTCCTATGCTTTCTAATTACTAACTGCACAGGTCCTTCCGGAACAGACTTCATAATATTCCAGGCGTCAAAGTGCATGAGCCCAACCAGGGGTTTCCCATTAATGGCTAGAATTTCATCTCCAGCTTCTATCGTTCCTGCTTGTTCAGCTGCACCACCTGTGAGAATACATACAGAATAACGGCTTGGTACTTCGATAATATTCCAAATGAATATGAATTCCAAGTAAACTATAACCGTAAAGAGAAAAATCTCTAAATGCTATGCTTCTATTCTTAGGATAAAGAGATACTTCTTAAACAAGACACACAAAGCATATACACATAAAAAAGAATCAAATCTATAATTCTCTCCCCCAAATATAAGCAATTGAGGGGAAGATGTATCAAAAGAATACAAAAGAGGAAATTCAACAAAAGAAATCAATAGCTAAAATTGAAATGGCCAATAAATGCAGGAAAACAGAGTTAACTTCTGATTGTTAAGATATTGGCTAATGTATCCAAATTCTGAGAAGTGATGATTACATGCTCAGCAGTGACTGTGGAGATACAGATATACTTATTGATTACTTAACACAAAGTTTTAACATATTTCTATACTACAGTTTTGTGTATGTTCTAACAAGTTTGAGTTTTGAAAAAACACAAGTTTGAGCCTTCTTGTATTAACTTTCTTGCATAACACATCAAAAATGAATGATTGTATTGAAAAGGAGATGCATACTGGTAGTGGAAGCACTTATAGGAAAAGGCATTGAAAGAAAAATTCCCAGGCATGAAAATAATTTTCTCAGGAATCTTAATTAGAGTTCAAAAAATTGAGATGTATCTCTTTCATCCTAAGTTGCTGAAAACCAATATACATACGATTATAGTTGACTATAAAGATTGATAAAGGTACATCTGGAAGACAGTAAGTTCAGATCCCACCCATTCAAGGATAAAAACATTTTGTTGTTAATGCTGGAGACGCACGCTCGTTAGAGGAGACGAGAGGAGACGAGCCCTCACCAAAGGAGCAGAGACTGGTTTAGTCCCGTCACTGCTTTCTCCAGGTACACATTTCTGGAAGTACCAAAGTACTGTAATTTTTTAAAAAAAGTTATCACATGTACCCAGAAGGTCCTGTTCTCCTAGGAATATTGACTACAGGCCCCAAGCAGGTTATGTGAAACGAGGGAAGCGTGTGGGGGTTCCAGCCAAACAAGAGGCTGTGAGTTAGTGGAAAGTGCGCTGAATAGCAGAGTGTGGTCTCAAGTCTGTGACATCAGGCAGTTGCTACGAGTTTCTCTAAACCTGAGTTTTCTCATCTGCAAAATAGTGATGTTGATATGTCTTGTTACTTCACCAGGTTACAAGGATGGAATGAGATGAAGTAGATAGAAGTCCTAGATGAGCCATTCAGTGGTGTGCAGGCCACAGAGTGCCAGCCCTTGGACTTGTTTTACACGAGAGAGAAATGAACTACTCTCTTGCTTAAAACCACTGTTGTTTTGGGTTTTCTATTACATGAGGTCTAACAGATTTGATTAGGATTTCTCTCTCCATTTGTTGAGGTTTTTTATTGTTCTTTATAAAGCTCTTATGCTTTTTCCCAAAAAAGGTCTTTCAGGGCCATATTTTCAGCTCTATATTTTAAAAATAACTGAGTACTGTGGGCCAAGAGTAGGGAGGAGGCTACTGGGTTATTTTGTAGTTGTAGAACTATACCACAGGGCCACTGACTAGAGGGTCATTAAAAACATAACGGTCTTAAGTGAAGAAGAGCTGACCTTACTGTTATGTGCTCAAAGGGTTTTGGATGCTAGACTGCAGAGAGATGGGAGCAGTAAGTATTTAACTAGTTGGTAGATATGAAGTCTCTTCATGAGTTTAATGATATTTAATATACTAACAGTATCAGCATACAGTCAAGAGCCACTTAATGATGGGGATACGTTCTGAGAAATGCACCATTAGGCTGTTTCATCATTGTGTGAACATCAGGGTGCACTTACACACACCTAGCTGGTACAGCCTGCTACTGTACGTCCTGTTCTTCTATGTGACTGGCAGCACGGTAGGTTTGCTTATGCCAGTGTCACCACAAAAGTGATGTGTTGCACTAGGGCATGATGGCTACAATGTCACGAGGCAATAGGAAATTTTCAGCTCCATATCTTATGGAACCATTGTTGTTTGTGAGTTCTGTCGTTGACCAAAATGTCATTATGCAGCGCATGACTTTGTTATATATTGATATAGTTGTTTCATGCTTGCCTTAGCTTGAAATAGTTAACATATTAACAATACCAGTATAACACTCCCCAATATTAATTTTTAAATATTAGTATTAAATTTAATAATACTAATATTTAATATGCTAACAGTATATTAGTATTGTTAGTGTTTTATTAAATATTATGATACCTTTATATATACATATGTACTGATACTGTTAGTATAATTTTCAGCTCAGGAACCTGGAGACTTTTGAGAACTGTCCAAGAGCATAAAATGAATTATTCTGAGTTCATACTTACTGCTCCCATCTTACTTTCTTACAGTCTAGTATTTGCAATTTTAAGTGAATACGATCTTGGTTGATGTTAAGTACCCCTGCCTGGCACTTCTAATGGCATTACTTAGCTTGATACGTTCACATCAATAACAGATAATATTAAGAACAAGGAAGACAGGAACGTGGAGTTAGCGGTATCGTATAGAGGTTAGCGTCATGGACTTTAAAGCCAGACTGCCTTGGTTCATACCTGGTTCTGCCACTTACACCTGTGTGACTTTAGGTGCTTGTATAACTCCCCTGTGGCACAGTTTCTCCTTTCGTAAAATTGGGATAATAGTACGTATCTGATAGGATTGTCATGTGGGTGACATGAGTTAATACATGTAAAACGCAAAAGGCTGACACAAGGTAAACCTATATGTTAGAAAGCATTAAAAATATTTTAGGATTTTTTAAAACGAATTTGATTTCCAACTAGAAGGCACTGCCATACACAGGAAGGAAACAGGTAATGGACGACAGGCTGGGTTTTCCAGGACGTTACCTTTGTACACTCTCTTAACAAACAGGGGCCCGTCTCCGGCCATAGAGGACTTTCCTCCATCCAGACTCAGGCCCAGCCCAGCTGAGGTCTTCAGCACTTCAACACACAGAGCGTCTGGTGCTACAGCCATGCCTCTCCCTGCAGCATCAGTGATGATAAAGATGAAAATGACAGGGACACACATTACCTCCTGTCCAGTCCCCCAAATGTGTTACCCTGGCACCCTTGAGTCCCATCTACTAGAGGTGCCGATGACAAGACTTGAGACTTAGTTAGGACTGGCTCCCATATTTGGGGATCCCCTTCTGGCTGTGTTCCTGCTGCACCTGCACCCTCTGCTCTTCTAAGCACTTTCTGCGAGAGCGGATTTATGCCTAAGCAGAAATCCCCAGCAACCACACTGCTCCTGTCGAGCACCACACACTATCGGTACATGTCTCAGTGAAGACTGAAGTCACACTTGGTGAATCAGCCTGTGCTTCAGAAATGGAAGCAGTGCTTCGTTTCGAGTAAGTACTTAGCGTGCTTACCATGCATGCAGCCTTGGCACGACGGTGTGGAGGGCACACAGAAAATGTGTTTTGTAAGCCCTTCGTGGTTGGTTTAAGGCTGCAGTCTCTGTCTTTAAACACTTTTGCCCCCTCGTTTCCTTATGTTCCTCTAAAACAGGAAAGAACACAAACCCTGATATTTTCTAAGGACAGATCTCAGTTCTGGAATCTCTTTCAACACTGATTCCATCTCAAGAGTTTCTTGTTTTCCGTTTAGCCACCTAAGCCCTAACGAGAGAGTGGAGGAAATGTGAAAGGGCTTTCTTCATAGTAATTTTAAATCTTCAACAGTGTGGCTGTAACTGCTGGGTCTTTAATAAGTTGTTTGTAACACTGGTTTTGCAAGAAGCATCAACAAACACTACTTCACTACATTTGATTTCTCTGACCCAGATAATAGTGGTTATTTTCCTTCATGTTCAGCCAGAATCTACCATGTCAGCTGCTCACACCCGCTGGTTGTCCAGCTGCTGTCTTACCCATTCCAGGCTCCGGGGGAATGGCCCTTTTGGACAGCGAGCTCTTCCTTTCGTCTATGGGCGGCTCCTGCCTGGAGGAAGGCCTGGGCTGGTCACCTCCTCTCCTAATGACCATGAGGACATCTTTGTGCAGCTGTGCCTGGTGCAGGACCTTCAGGACATCCCCATGGGCAAGGCCAGCCAATGGGACGCCATTGACCGACAGAAGGACATCCCCTCGGCTCACGGTCCCTTCCTGAGAAGCTGCCCCCTGAGAAAACACCCTGTGGACCTGGGATAAGGAGAGGACAGAGCCACATTTATTTATGACGTCCAGTAAAAACAGAAGGGTAATTGGAAATCCATAGTAAAGAAACCTTCTAATGGCAAGTTTTTCAAATCATATAAACATTTGGCTTATGAAAAACGTACTCAATGTGAGGGATGGAATTACAAATGTCAGTACCAGCATTTGAATACATTTTCACTCAACTTCTTGCTAGTGTCTAATATGTGCCTGATACTCCATGGGGCAGTAAGAATACAAAGACAGGACCTGACCATGTCCAGTAAAGGTGGCCTCCCTAATGACCTCAGGCCACTGAGTGATATAAAATTTTAGGTAGTGGTTCTTGAGAAAGAAGTAGTTTCATAAGCAAATGCAGGTTTAGTCAGTTAATTCTAATGCTTTTGTGGTGCTTAAAATCTGTAGGCGAATACAAAGATATAGACAATTGTGTTTATATGTATTGTCATCTAATAGGTCACTCAGCCTGTACATCAGTCAGCTTAAAAGGCGCATCTTTGTCAATGAAAATACCATGTACTTTCTCTACTTTTCCATTTTCGTTTTGGTCGCACTGAACACACACCAGCAGCCTTTGAACTCACTGACATGCATTTCTCCTGATCAAATTCTGAGGCCACTTCAGCGGTGACTTCCCTGAGAGTCTCGACGTTGTCACTTACCACAATTGATTTTGGCTCCACATCTGTCCCTCCTGCCACACTGAATCCCAGACCTGAGCCTTCTTTTTTAGTCAAGACTGTGAAGCAAACATCTTTATTCTAGTGAAAAGAAACAACAAAAAAAGTATATTCCTTGTGCCAAGAGTGAGGAAGTATAAAAGCCTCCTGTAGTACTGCAGCATTTGTCACCATTACCCAGGGGTTTCTCAGGAGCTTTCACAGAACATTTAAATTGGAGGACCCCCACCTCACCCAGTCTGCGTCCCCTTCTGGGTGGTGCTTATTGCATGGGTTTTCGAGGGTCATCCAACTGTAGAACCACAGGGAAGGTGAGCATTAACCAGGGCAGGGACGGGACAATTTAGAAGCCAGTTTAGCCATTCTAGGCACCAGATTGTGTCTTGGATGTGATTTGATCATGAAGGGCATTCCTTACTCCACAAGTAAGTTTGCAATTTAGTCAATAAGAGCAGCAACAAAAAGATGTGTAAGCGTCAAGAGCAGGATAAGAGCACATTGAAGCCACGTGTTCTGCGCCTTCCCTCGTGGTCAGTTCATGGGACTTCAGGTGCAATTAATGAACTAATACCGTAAAATACAAAGGATGTTTAAATATGAAGCACGTTACAATACATAAAGCACATCAAAACTGTCAACTCGTATTAAGACTAGAACATTTTTAGTAGTGTCCTAAAGTTATCAAAAGACTGTGCTATGTTTCGAGCATCAATCAAAAGATACTTTGAAATAAAAGATTTTAAAATAAAAAAAAAAACGAGCCGGGCCGATTCTATTGAACTTTGACTTTCTCCACCCATGTGCTAGAGATGATTCAGCAACATTTTAAAGATCTGCATTACTAGGCTGTGAAATTATTTACAATCCATCAATTCAAGACGTTCTCAAACAGCAATAGAAAAAGAAGCTAATAATATCCTTTAGGATTGCTTTGACGAGGAAAGTGGAAACGTTAGGAGAAACCACCCCCACGGTGTGCTGGGAAGGACCCCAGTAGTGTTTGGTTCTGTCAGTCTCAGGGACTAATCGTGAGCATTTTATACTTCTCGAGAGTAGAGTTCACTCGAACCAAGGCTCCACTGACACTAGCACGTCCTGCAGGACTTTGGGGGGCTGGGATTTTGCCTTTATGGGCAATTGTGACCATGCGTATGCTCAAACCAATGGAGAGAAGAATGACGACCAGGCTTTCAAAAGAACTAGGAACATGTGGTCTGGTAGATGATCTTTGTGCAGCTTCTCAGAGGAAATTGCTTGACGCTGAAATAGGGATAATTCTCATATTTAAATGCATGATTGGAGCAAAGGGACAGAATATTTGAAAAGGGGACTCTCTTCATTCCAGGACATGTTATCACTAAAATTTTCATTTTAACTCCCCCCCCGCCAGCCCCAACTTGTGTTAGGGGATACAAGTACACTGGAAGCTGGTTGTCAGGCCAAATTTTGTCTCCCTGAGAAGCGTATTTAGCACAGCATCAGGAAAGCCAGATCCACCACCAGGGGTGGGCCTGTGCAAGTCAGAAGCCCAGGGCTTGTTTTCTGACTCATCTCTCACAGTGCCCCTAGAGGCCACAAGAAAGCATTTTGTGCAGTTCCGTTTTCAGCACCTACAAACATAATCACTGGTAAAAAGCAAGGCAGGAGGAAACTTTTGTTTTAAAGGTGGCAGAGTGAAGGACATCTCTGCTGACTGCTCTCTGAAATCAACTGAAGACAAGAAAATAAGGGAAAGCTGCATTCTGGTGACAGTAGGGATGGCCTTTAACATGAAGCCATAACACCTGCCTGCCTGGGGTCTTGAATATGGAACCGGGGGTGGGGGTTCTCTTTTTTCTCTTTTTACAGTTTCTAACTGTAAAATGTGGAGCAAAGGAGACCCTGGCAAAGTGTGATCTCACTGTGCCACCTAGACTGGAAATCCCAGAATATGACTGTGCATGAAATGCTTACTTCCCATACCAAGTTGAAGAAGGAAGGGAGATGATGGAATTGTTCCTTTTACCGAAAGTGAAAAATGCTGGCTGTCTCAGGTGTTTCTTAACTGCTCAGACCCAAATCAGAAGGCTGAGAATCCGAGGGGAGAAGGAGCTCCCCTCAGATTGGTCTCCGTTCTGCCCTGTGCCCTCTCCCTCCTGGCTCACAGCTGATTAGATGCCAGCGCCACAGCCCTTCTAACAGAACTGCTGGAAGAGTATTCTCAGGTGACATCAATGACCCAGGTATGTTATCACTCAAGAAAAATTGTTCATGCACGCTTTTTCCTCTACACAGAAAACATTCATTTCTTAGGGTTCAAGTCTCTGGATAGTCCCAAGAAATTAATATTGTACTTCAGAGAAGTATTCTAGACATGAACCCATGGTTTCTTTTGCTAACTGTTTACGGTCACATGCAATTTATTAAGAGGCTTTATGTGTAATGACTAATTGGCATCCTTGTCTTGAAACCCGGGCTTCAGGAGCTCTGACACTAGGAGCTGGGGAGGCCACGCCGAGGTTGATGCCCATTTCCCAGCAGGCAGCTCCCCGGACAGGCAGTGTATGTCCACTGAGGTGGACAGGGTTACTTGTGGTCATTCCCCAACAGTTCTAGATGGCTGGTTCTGTTTTCAGGACCCTCTGCCGACAAACTCCAAATGCAGGGTGGGGTGGAGTGGGGTGGGGAGGACAGTGACCAGTTACCACTGGGGAATGAAAACAACAGCTGCACTAACCTGGCACCTAACGATTGCAGGACAAGGTCTTGGTTCTGGAGCAAGACTGAGCCACACAAACGCGCAGCACAAGACTCGGAGGAGGGCTCTCGGCTCTGAGCGGCACACACCTGGGCACTGACGCCATAGCATCCCATCCCCCCGTTTCCGCGTTTCACTCACCTCTGATTGTGCTTCCGCTTCCTGAATGAGAGTGAGGACGGTACATTTTGACCCCACCGATGACAAAACTGACTGCAACCTCTGCTGGTCCCCCGCCGAGACTAGAAGCTGATCCAAGCTGCATAACATAAATGCATTAGAAGAACAAAGAAAACAATTTCTCCATTTTGTAAGGACTCATTTAAAAACGATCTCCTTTCTACTAGATGGTTGGTATTTTCAGTGGGAATGACTGGATTTAGGGAGTCCTCCGAGATGTTAGAGGACAAAATGCGGCAATTTAACAGGACATTTCTGATGCTAAAAACTGCGACGTATAGGCTCAAGTGAAACGTTTCAAACCGTCAGAAACTCCCTGTTTAACTCCAGTCACATTCAGAGGCCCGGACTCTTCCCTGAGGTGCATCTCCCATCTCATGATGCTTTGGCCTATGTGCCTCCCGTCAGAGAAGCATTTTGGCCGACACTGTTCCCTGCGGGCACTTCACTTTTCCAGTAATGGTACTGAAAACAAAGGGAGCTAAATGTGAGGGGGTATCCTCGGTTAGATGCTGGAACAGAAAAAGGATGGCATTTTTTCAGTGACATCTGAATGAAGCCTGTCGTCTAATTAATCCGGTGGTTCCATGGTTGACTTGCTCTGACTCGTGGCTGGCGGTTACGCAGGCTGCTCACACTAGGAGGTGCTGTTTGAGGGGCGTGTGGGAACTCTGCACTGTCTTTGCGACTTTTCTGTAAATCTAAAACTAGTCCATAATAAAATTTAAATAAAAGGGGGAGGGGAAGGTACTTACTTAACTGACCAGCTTTTTCTGGAAGGCAGATCCTGGGTGGTTTCACCCACATCGTTGGCTGAACTGGCCGCTCCAGGCTCACTGGCTTTAGGTCTGCTTCCCCCTGGACAGGCCCTGTCTGCCCCCTTCATGGGACACGAAAAGGCAGGGGACCCATTGAGGCTTCTAGCAGGGGAGCCAAGTGACCTCCTGGGCACGATTTCCAGCTCGGTTTTGAAGAGTACGGCTGTCGGCTCTGCTGAGAAGTCCTCGCCGTGGAGTTTGTCGAGGTCGGGCATACTCAAGGCTCGCAGTTCCTGGAGCTTAGAGCGGGACAGGGGCGAGGGCTGCGTGTGGCGCACGGAGGACTTGTTCTTCTTGATGGGAGAGGCCGGGGTCACCACTGGGGTGGGGATTCCGGAAGGTCCAAGTGTTTTCTTTGGGTCTGGAGCAGGGCCCTTGTTGGTGGCCTCCACCAGATTTTGCCGGGAGACCGTTAGCATCATGCTGGATGGGGACTTGGTCATCTGGGGGATGAGGGTGGTGGCTTCACTTTGGCTTTCACTGCAGGAACTCAGGCTGCGTCTCAGAGACCTTGCTGTGGGGTCGCCCAGATGGCTGAGGCTCCCCGAAGCCACGCTGCCCGACGACCGTCGCCCAATGGGAGGCTTGGAGCTCACAGACAAAAAGGGCGAAGCCCCGGACTTGCCCACAGGCCGGTCAGAATTGGCCAGGTTCTCAAAGGATTTGATTCTCTGCTTCACAGAGAAAAATGAGGTAGATTCATGGGGCCAGTTCTGCTCAGAGTAGTAATGTCTCCTGGTAACTCTGATTTTGTCTGTGACGAGGCAGCGTGTTTCCTGCTCGGAAAGGACATCCCCTTCGTCTGTCATTGGAAGGTTCCTCACCGTCTCCAGCAGGGGCTTCACGCTGTACACACCCGGTCCATTGACCAGGCCGAGAGCGCTGCCTCTGGACGCCTTGGCTTCAGGGAGGCCACCGCTTGTCGCAGGCATCTGGCTGTCTCGATGAGAGCGACCGGGGCTGTGTAGGGTAGGCCCCTCCCGTCCAAAATGGCTGGAGAACTGGGCTGGCATGGAGTAGGTCCTGGTCGCTGGCCTTGGCGTGAAATAGGAATGGTCGTCCAGCACTGGGGCCGCTGGTGTGCTGTTCCTGGGTGTCCCTGGGGAGTCTGACATCTGGCTCGACCTTCCCAGGGAGGCATCTGCCTTTCTGGCCGGCAGCTGGGGGGAGGAGGAGGAAGAGGCCAGTTTAGCCACGCTGAGAGATCGCTGCATTTCTGGCTCCACCTGGGAGGCACAAGACGTGAACGAGGACGGATGATATGAGGACGATTCCACCGGCTGGTGACAGGGTCTGATTTCACTCTTCTCCTGACAGTTGCCCTGGGCCAAGAACCCTCCCTGTCTGTCACTTTCAGCTGGCTTGTCACCACTTGCATTCTTTGGCATTCTTTCAGAAGGAATTTCAACTATTTTCAGCTGGTTTATTCTTTCTAGGGGATCGCTAGCAATTGTTTTGCTTCCTCTGTCACCAGTCACCCCTGATGGGGCTGCTTCTGGGACCAACTCTGTTTGGCTGGCCTGCTTCTGGCCTTGCCCGGGAGACGGGAGCTCCTGTTTGTCCACTGCTATGGACAGGCTACTCTTGGAGGCTGTGGGACCTGTCCCTGAGGCCGTGGGGGACGCCTTGCTCTCTGGTTCACATTTGGGAGATCTGGGGGTGGCCGAGCATCCTCTGTCGGATTCGGAGTGGACAGCCGTCTGGAACCTACTACCTGCACCTTGCTCAGGAAGAGTCTTGGGGGACGTCAGGGGCGGAATGAACGGTCTGAGGCTCGTGTCTGATGCTGACAGCCTCAGGGACCCTGAGGCTGCAGGGGGTGGCTTGCTCTCCAGCACACACTGGGGAGGCTTGATGGCGGCTGTGGCGTTTTTGTCGGGGTCTTCATGGTCAGCTATGTGGAGCCGGTGTGACGCTCCCTTAGGAAGCACTTTGTGGGAGGTCTGGGGCGAAACGAGGGATTTCCTGTGGTCTGCCCCGCCCGCCTTAGGCATATTGGCGGCAAGGGCCTCGGAGCTGCCTTTACTTTTGCTTTTGATGCTCAGTCTCTTCAGCTTAGCACCGGATTTGGGTTTCTGACAGTTACTTAAAAGTGTTTCCACTGGACTCTTTTTAGGCGGATCTTTATTTTCAAGATTCAGTTTCAGCTGAGGGGGGCTGTTAGGCACAGCAACCCCCTTTTTGTGGCTTGTGCTCAACACCTGACACTTGGAGTCAAGGCTTCTGGTGGGCAGCACGGGTTGTCCCTTCTCAGTTCTGCTCTGCAAAGGCGTACCTTGGTTACTTTTATTGATTTCTTTAAACCAGGCCATGATGGGCCTCCTGGAGGTCATTTTTGGTTTTCGTAGCAAATCATCCAGGTCTTGACTCGTGGAGATGTGCAAGTTTGCCAAAACAGTGTCCCCCTTAGGGGCACCCACACTTAGGGAGGACTGATTTTCCGTTGTGTTCACATTTGTTTCTTGTTTTTTATTTGGGGTGTCACCATCCAACAAGGCATGTTCCAAACCATTTACCAGGTTAGGATTGCTGACAGTGACCGGGGGGTCGTGAAAATGCCTGGTGACTCTAGAAGGCTGGCCGTTGTCCACAGCTGAGCTAGCGCTGGTGGCTTCCGTAGCTGCTTCTTCCCACGAGGGCCTGTGGTTCTGTGTGGTCCTTAGGTCCGTGTGCGGTTCATGCCCGTGAGACCTTATATCCAAGAGGGAGAGTGGCTGGGAGGGGCTTGGGATGGAAGGGCACGAGGCTCCTGGCATGAAGGAGCCTCTGGCACAGGGACTTCTTGCCGCTTCACTCCGAGCACTGTGCCTTGGTGGCGGACCTCTGGCCAGCGCAGGGCAGGGCGTGGCCTGGCCCTGCACATGAGCAGCTGTCGAGGGTGGATTGGCGGAACCGTCTGCGGAACAAATTTCAACTTGCTCCTCCTCAGACTCCGAAGTTTCTTGCTTGTGAGAAGAACCATGAGAACGAGGAGGTGACCAGTTGTCCCTGGCAGAAGCTCGTGGGGCTTCAGTGAGTGACTCGGGGTCAGAAGACGAGTCCTCGGCATCACCGTACATGGATGAGAGAGACGGCTCTGTGCTGTCACCCAGGCCTGACAGGGATGTACTGTCTTCGTGAAAACTGCTAAAATTTCTAGAGTAGTTGCTCAAAAAGTTTTTGTTCACAGTAAAATGTTTGTCAGGATTAATTGAATCTAAAACTGAAGGCTGGGAGGTCCACTGTGGGGGCGGGGGAGGGCCAGCAGCCCAGGCCCTCCTCGGGGTGGGGGTCTGGTTCTCCGTGACGGGTTCGGTGCTGCGGGAACTTCCACCTCCAGCTCCCATTGGAAGCTGACCCCAAGAACTGCCCTCTTGACTTGCCCGGTCTCCTGTCTGAAGAGACGGCAGGCTTGCTTCAGAAGCATCCAGTTCCTTGATGAGTCCGTCGATGTCAGTCACAGGGCCCACTCCACCTTCCCCGGAGCAGCAGTGCCCTGAGACACCGCCACACGCCACCTGTTTGGCCTTGTCAATGGGTGACAGCAGGGACGGGCTGGCCCGCGGTGCCATCTCGGACCCAGAGTCTGTTCCCTTGAGCAGAGCAGGCTCTTGGGAGTTTTCAGCTATGAGGAGGCCTGTTGGGTGCTGAGCTTTGCTGTCATCACCTGGAACTCCTTGTCTCTCCTCCTGGGCTAGGAGGGGGTCTCGTGAGAGGACAGCGGCCTTGCTGGGGGTGTCACAGGAGCTGGCTTCTGGGGCTGCTCGAGTTGTGCTGAGCTCCGGATGAGCGATTGCCATCTTCCCTGGGGTTATGCTGTGCTCCCGGGAGAGGCCGACATGACTTCTGTCCTCACACTTGGGGACCCTGGGTAACGCTGGCTCTCCAGGGTCCTCAGGCTGCTTCGCTTGCCCTGTGTCTACTGAGGTCTCGCTGGGGTCAGGGTAAGCTGTCCCTTTCTGCCTTGGGGAAGGAATGAGGTCTTGGGAACCGTCCAGTCCTATTTTGAGAATGTAAATAAAAGTGGGGTGGTAGGGGAGACAAAAGAGGAAAATGTGAGAAAATGGAAAACCTCTCAATTAAAAAAAAAAAGGAAAATTATGAACAATCTCAATTTTTGTGTGTCTTTTTCAGAAAGACATTCCACAGCCTGAATGCCAGCCTTCTTGTTTTGTCTCTAAAACGATAGAGCACTCCCATCTGACAAATGCTACCCTGCTTGAGATGCTCTAAAATAACTCAGACTGGCTAGCGGAAACTTTTGTTTCTGCTTTTCTTTTTCCTTTCTGGTTATTTTTAAGGACAAGGGCTCACCAGAGATCCTTTCCTTGGGGTTCTCTAAGAGCGAATGGAGCCAGGCTGTGGTTCTTTTTCTTTCCTGACTTCCCATCGATTCTGCAGAGGCCTCGTGCCTCTCTCTGTCTCCGCATCTGGCTGATCACGTGCGGGTTTGGCTTCCAGGTGTGGGTTGTGAGCCACAGAGTAAAGTATAAAACAGTCCAAGCGCCGAGCTTTCGGGACGCACTGCTTAGCGTAGGAGACGAGGCTAATTCGGGAAGACACACGGTACGCTCCAGACAGGATGCGAGTCTGCGCTGAGTGTCAGCTGTGCCCTGGCCCAGTTTGGAGGAGCGGGAGAACTAGAAGGCCAGATTCCCGCAGCGAGCTGGGACAGAGGGGTGGGACTTGAGTGGGTTCTGGAGGGATAGTTTGACTAGAGTGATAAGGAAGAAAATGGAATAAAAGCAGGGAAAGCCGATGCATGCCAGGGGGCCATGGGGAATAAAGTCACTCTGTGAGGCGGGTTCAGCCCTGGAGCTTCCTTCTCCTAAGGCCCTGAATACCTGGGCTAATCTGTCCCCCTCCTGCCCGTGGCCTCTTATAATGGTCAGCGGTGGGGTGTGGGGCGGGGGACTGGCATACAAAGGAACATCAGATTCACTATTTTCCTAGGAGCTATGGGTCTGAGGCTGGAGTGAAAAAAATCACAATGAAAGCTCTTGCTCTGAGAAGGCTGTCTGCCCCAAATGTTACATGCATCCACGTTTCCCACAGACCATCTTACTGCATGTCTTGTCCCTCCTGAAGTTCCTCGGTCTATAATTAAGAACTCATTATTAGGACTTAGTGCTGTGATGAGAGTTTTTCATGCACTCAGTTCTCCCCCCCGCACCGGGAGGTAGGTGCTGTGACCGTCTGCCTTGCATGGCAGGACCCTGAGGCACAGGGTGGTTAAGCAACGTATCCAGGGTCACAGAGTTCATGGCCAGGGGTTGCTCTAGGAAGCTGGCTCCTCCGCCCACAGTTACCTAAACCCTGAATACTTGGCCTCTGTGTAGAGAGCACCTGGCAACAAAAGGTGGGGGTCGACACCCCTGGAGACCCTACATAGCTTCCCAGGCCCCTGTGGAAGGAAGGCCAGGGTCATGCCAACATTCAAATCCATGGGCTCCTGTCCTCTGCTCAATCTTTTGAACTCACTTCAGCATGACTTTCCTGCTGCTGCTGCTGCCAACTATAGGGAAAAGTACCAGTGAGGCAGGAGGAGATTTAAATGCTGTTTTTCAGGTTCAAGTTCACTTGCTAAACAAACCCTAAGTTTTTGTTAGCAGTGTGACTTTACCACGAAGTGTGTAACTTAAGGGGTTTTATTTGAGGGAGATTAAATTACATGAAGGCAGTCCTTGACGTCACCTCTCAAGATGGCTCTTCACTTGAAAATACCCCGAATGCCCAGCGACGGGGAGAATGCTGACTCGGTTACGGTGTGTCTGGAGGTGGACGGCCCAGAAGCCTTTGCACACGGTGCCGTGGGTGCAGGAGGGCAGGGCGGGTACCAGTGCAGCTGCCTAACCAGAGCAGGTGTGCTGACACTTGAACCATCTGGGCTCGGGACGGCCTGCCAGGGCCAGTGTGAGTCATGCAGGCCCAGGAGCATCTCGTGGGCCCCAGTAGGCAGCTTAAATATTGTCTTCTTATGCACAAGGTAAAACTTATTCATTTTTCACTTGTCCTCTGTGAAGGTTCTTTTTGGCATTTCCCAGGGCCTTTGATTTCACATAAGCAGAGTGTTGAGATTTTGAAGGGCGAGAAATCCTTTCCTTTCTTCTCTTGCTTCATTAACTAAGGTACGTGTCACAAAATGGTTGAAGAGTGTCGACTGTATGAAATGCATGCACTATACACTGAATTAAAACTGAGTTTAGGCGCAATGATCTAGTGAAGTTGTTAAATGCTGGCGCCTTTTAAATGTCATTAACTTGTGTAAGAACCTTTTATTCCCCTCGCCAAATTCTCCACATGGGACATTTTCCTTAGGGTAACTTCTACCCTTCCATCTTGAAGAATAACAAGTGATAAAATAATCATACCTGTCCTGGGTTGTTGCCCCCGGTCCAGTGCAGCTTCGGACCGGTTCTCTGTGAGGTGGCCAGGACCTGGGTGGGGCCCGTCACCAGTGGTCAGCTTTCCCAGAGATTCCTGGCATGATGACAACAGCAAGTCTCTGTCAACAATGTTCAGATTTTCTGCATGCTAAGACATCATGTAAGACAGTTGGCTTGGGAAAATTCCAGAGCCCTGGACCAGGAGCCACAAGATCCAGACTCTGGGTTTCATGCCCACTAGACATTGCGCGGCCCTGTCACTCTTCCTAACTCTCAGTTTTCTCAACTTTAAAATGTGGGCGATTTGGGAAATGTACATCAAAACGACAATGAGATATCACTTCACGCCCCTTAGGATGGCTACAATCAAAAAACAGAAACAACAAGTGTTGGTAAGGATGAGAAAAAATTGGAACCCTGTGCATTGTTGGTGGGGATGTAAAATGGTGCAGCCGCTGTGGAAAACAGTATGGAGGTTCCTTGAAAAAATAACAATAGAATGACCATACGATCCAACAATCCCACTTCTGGGTCTATACCCCAAAGAACTGAAAGCAGGGTCTTGAAGAGATATTAGTATACCTACGTTCATAGTATTATTCACAATAGCTAAATGTGGAAGCAATCTGAGCTGATGAATGGATAGATGAATGGATAAGCAAAATGCGGTATACGCACACAATGAAATACTAGCCATAAAAAGGAAAGAAATTCTGACCCATGCTACAGCACGGATGAGCTTCGAGGACATTACGCTACGTGAAATAAGCCAGTCACAAAAAGACAAATATTATACGATTCCACTTACATGAGGTACCGAGAGTGGTCAAATTCATGGAAACAAAGTGAAATGGCGGTTTCCAGGGGCTGGGGCGAGGGCCGGGGCATTGACTGTTTAACGGGTATAGAGCACCCATTTTCCCAGATGAAGAGTTTCGGAGAGGAATGCAGTGATGGCGACTGTGTTCATACCACTGAACCACATGCTTAAAAATGGTTAAGGTGGTAAACTTGTATTATATGTATTTTACCACTATTTAAAAAAATTGGGGGAAAAATGGGGATAAGAAGACTTGCTCTAACTCAGATTTAAAAAAAAGACGATTAAATAACAGTTATAAAACAACATGCATCACACAAAAGCCTATATCGATGTAAGGTATTATTATTATTATATTGAGATATCCAAGACTGTAAACTCAGCTCCTCAGCTTGGTAGGTAGGGAGATAAATGAAATTGACATTTAATATGTGAAAACGTCAGTTTAGCCATGTGTTAATTGCTTTATCTTCCTTCCTTCTAATACTTACTGTAAAAACATTTAAAGACCCACTTGCTAAAAAGTTAAATCAGGTTTATTTGAAATTTACCCTCTGAGTTAAAGTGTCATAAAGTGGCCCAAAGGTGGCAGCAGAGGAAAGAAAAGAAATGGATAGAGTGTCTTTCAGCTACTCTTGTAAAAAAAAAAAGTCCTTTAGCTGCAGCCATGCTGCCCTGAACGTGCCTGGTTAGTACTTGGATGGGAGACCACCTAGGAAGACCAGGTGCTGTAGGCATAAAAAATTAAAAAAAAAAAAATCATTTAGTAAAATGTCAATTATCTGCTGAGGAAAATCTACTTGGGGTTTAACTCAGTTAATCTTACATTGACCAGTAAGGCATAAATTTAAAAACAAGAGTTCTGGAACTAGATCGTGCACTTACAATACTGAACAAGCACCTCTAAATATCACTGAATCGTACACTTTAAAATGTTTAATTTTGTTATGTGAATTTCAACTTTAAAAAATGTTAAATAAAAATAAGACAACCATTTTCCAAAAGATTATTTTTTAACTTCCAATATTTGAAGCTAAATACTTTAGGAGAATGTACTCTATTTTCTTCCTCATGTATAAATAAAATCAAATTTTGGAACTAAAATTTTTATGAGAAAAGTTAAACTTTTGTACAAAAGTTTTAAATGCTGTTCAAAACCTCTTATTTGGAATACTAATTCGCATTTTCACAGGCCCTTATTTTAATAGATATAAATTATTATGAATAAAAATGCCAACTTGGCTTTACATGGTTGCTTGTAGTTGATAATTTTTAAAAGAAAGGGTTTATGTATTAGTCGAACACTGCGTTTTAAAACACACTTGCTAGTTGGAGCTAATAATATTTAGGGGGCGGAAAAAAGATGTGTGTTTCTACTTTTTCTTTAAGGTTAACAAAACCACTTCTGCCCAGTACAGTTTTTATGACTATATTTTCTGGGTCTATTTACATGTATGTTTATATAAACCAACTGAACATACATCTTTATAAATACGGCCTCACAAGTCATCTCAGATTCTTTGCTCAGACAAAAATCATTTATGTTGAGATCTTTAAACAATGTTAGTCTCTCTTACTCTCTCCTTACTAAAGTGGAGAAATACTGAAATTTTTTAAAATGAGCAATTGGATAATTTTGGGCCATTCTGACATAGGTGTGACCAAGTAATAACATACACAATATTAACTTGCATTAAATGTGGCATAGTTTCCATGTGATACTCATAAGGGTATGAGCAGCTGTAATTACACATAATCACTGTAGAAAGTTTGAAAAAAGATCACTCAGAACCTTATCAATAGGAAGTAATCACTGTTGCCCTACATTTGATGGTCACCCCAACTCTGTGACATGATCAGGGCAGAGAGCACCACCCCTATTTGGCAGTCCAGACAACTGTGGCTCAAAAAATTCAATAACTTGCCCAAGTGGTCACCCAACTTGTCAGTGAAGAGGCTGGTACCAGTCCCAGGGTGTTCCTTCACCCGCCTCGCACCCCTCCATCATCAACCACAGGCCCTGTGCACAGGTAAGAGAGCCAGTCTATCTTTCGGCCAAGGGATCTATGACTCAATACCCGGGCACTTTCCCCCCGCCAACCTGCTGACATATTAATAGGCTCCTGAGTGGCCTGTGTACCGAAATGAATGCTTGTTAAATGATAATTGTCCAACCATTATCTTTTCTTTCAGGCAGATTATCCTATGCCTGAGAACACACTCCATATTTGTCCACACTTAGTATTCACTTAGATTCCCAAGTAACTAAGAAAATCAGTTACCTTCTCCACAGTTCCATCTGGCTGAAAATCAGTCACGGTCACTTGGACTGAAGTGGCCTGGATTTTAGAGTCCAGACCGCATGAGTCATTAGCTCCATCAGTCGGGTTTACTCTCTCTGAGCCACTGGGCCTGGCCTCAGCCTCCGGCCTCTTGCAGTGTGGGCTGACCCTGGCCACTGGTTTGTGCCTAGACCCTAGGCTTTCATTCTTCTGCTGGGGGGACCTGGGGCTGTCTGTGCTCACCAGGCTTTGAGTACCATATTTATATTCCAGTTTGGGTGAACTCCTTGATCCTGATAGTTCCTTCCTCCCCAAGCAGCCAGAGCCACCCTTGTGGGCCTCTGCAGAGGCCAGCAGGTTAGCTGCATGGGAAGGAGTGTTCCCCACGCCCCTTAGAACAGTCTCCTCCAAGTCCAATGAGCTGCCAAGGAGAGGCACTGAGGAGGCCTTGCTGACCAGTGTTTTCTGGGGATGTGCCTCTTGGTTATTCATACCCATGACCTTGATAGAAGTCGTTAAGATAGGCCTAGAGTTGTCCTCTGTCAGAGGCCTGCTGGGACCCGGGAGGGTCCCTGGGAGGGAAACACAGTCCCCTTCGCCATCGAACTCTTCTTCATCGCTGGCATCGTCGCCATCATAGCAGCCCACTCTCCTCTGGCGGAGGAGAGGGTTTCGGAGGACCTGTGGGCTTCCAGGGAGACTGGTTTGTCTGGCAACTGTCACTTGCTTGTGGAAGAGCCCAGAGCCCCGCTGGCTTCCCAGAGACACAAGGCTGTTGGCTCTGGCTTTTCCTGGTTCCTTGTGAGCTGGGAGGGAAAGAAAAATCAAATTAAATAGTTTCCCATTCGGCCCGATCTTATAATTTAACCCCTGAACATTTCCACAATTGCCAGTAACACACCCTCTGGCCATTGGGCACCAGGCTTAAATGATATGGCTTCTTGAAATCTGCACAGAGCAGACAGCCAGCTTCCCTTGCTCCTTTTCCTGCTTGGCCTTCCTTTTTGTGTTTTTATGTCGTGTACTTCAACCTCTGGATTGTTTAACTTAAACATGGGTGCTGCCTAGAGACAGAAATGCATAATTCGTCACCATCCAAGATGCCTAACACATTGCTTGGGTTCTAGATGCTGCTGCTGCTGCTGCTGAGAATTCCTCTTTAGGAGGATGCCTGGGGACCAACAAGTGCTGCACGCCTGGGCCTTCTCATCACCTGAGGCCCTTCCTTCATCTGCAAAAAGCGGGGCTTCATTAACGGGGCATGTAAGCTCCTAGAGTCTGTGGTACAGTGAAGCCTGAGATTACAGTCTCTAAATAAATTCCAACCAGGGAAGGGACACATGGGCTGCCCAGCACACTCTTCACTTCTTGCTAAATGTCGTGAATAATTTACACGTGCTTCCACCTTGAAATGTTTCTATCAGAGCCTAGAGTAAGCTCATTGGCTTCTCCAAATAAGAGCCAGAGTGGTCATCACCTGCCTCTCCGAAGATGGGTATTTTCTTCGTCAGGCATTTGGGAAAAAAAAAAAAAAAAAAGAGCCACACCAGCAGAAGTCTGAGAAATCAGGATGGTTCACATCGGATCATTATCTCATATCAAGAGGATAATCAGTGAGATTAAAAAAAAAAACTGATGACGTCTGTTTCTTGAGTTTTGAATCTTTCACTCACTGCTTTCTAAAAAGAATTAAGTTAGGGCCTAGGGAGGGACGGGACCTGGCATTTGGCTAGGATTCCCCTAAAATATAAGGCCGTCAAATCCTGATTCGATGCCATAAATTTCAAGACGACACTAGGGGCACAGCATCTGCGGGGGAAGGGAGCGGCCAGTTGTTAACACTGGGCTGCAACCTCTAAGCGCAAACTCTGAATTTAGTTGGGGTGGGAGGACGGCTTCTGCACAACCACAGCGTGGTTTCCAGTTCTCTTCCCATCTTATACCGCTGAGACACTTAAACCAGTGTGGCCAGAGTCGGAGAACAGCCCCCACTTACTGGAGGCGCTGGGCGGCAGGCTGCCGTCCTCGGACGTGCTGCAGCCACTTCCCGTGTGATCCTCGTCCTCGGAGCCTGCCACCACGAAATCCGTCAAGGGGCCTGGGACATCTTGGACAAAGTACTGGGAGAGTTCAGACTCGGAGATCAGGGAGTCCTGTTGAAGATAACGTTGGATGGCTTAGAAGGTGCCTCAGAAGCGATGATTTTAAGCAGTGATTACTTTCTAACTTTCCAAGAACACTTCGTTCTATCTGTGGTCATCTGAAACAGCTGTGATAGTAAACGCTCACTTCCATTTACTCTAGATGGCTCAATTAAACAATTAAGGAATAAAAAGCCTATGATTGCTACCAGACGTTAAGATTTTTTTGGGGGGAGGGTGGCAAATGTTTGGCAATGATTAGAAAAGCCACAGCAGCAATATATCAACTCTCCCAGGAAGAGATAGGAAACAGAATGAAATTCCAAGCCACTAGTTCAGTCTATTGATGAAACAAAAAATGGGAGTTTTTGCTCTCCCTCTGTCCATTTTTTTAATATATTTACTTTTTAGGCAAGGCAACCCTTGGTTGACTTCACAGATTACAAGGACCTTGTCAGTTTACAATCAACAATTTTTTTACTTTTTATGCCTACAGCATCTGGTCTTCCTAGGTGGTCTTCCACCCAAGTACTAACCAGGCCCAACCCAGCTTAGCTTCCGAGATCAGACGTTGGGCTTGTTCGGGGTGGCATGGCCGGGGTGGCATGGCCGTAGACCATGGACTGTGGCTCCACTGGGGCATGAACCCAGGACCTTCTGTGTGTAAAGCGGACATGCTAACAGCTAAACTATGGAACCACGTCCTGAAAAACAATTTTTCAAACTGCAGCTCAGTTCTTTTATTGTGTTGCTCTATTCTTTTCCTAGATGAATATTTAATAAAAGAAACATACATCGCTATACTTGTTCTCAAATCAGCTTTGTGGCCATTTCCTGTGCAAAGTGGCCAAATGACTCATGGACAGAAATATGGGCTGGGCCCTCAGATCTGACAGATGGGCTCCAGGAATCTGTTTTGTGGGCCAGCTGAGTGAGGCAGCAGTGCACCTTGACTCACCTTTTTTCCAAGAGAGGGACTCTTCAAGGGGGTACCTGTTGGGGGAAAAAAGTCACCATATTGTCAAAACTATGAAGCTCAAATCCTTACAAATAGGCACATCCTTAACTAGAAAAGGAGGAGCCGAACATATTAAACAAAACCCTCCTTGCTTGACTGGCACCGATGGGCCACGTGCACAGGTAGAGACATGCACGCAGTCTGCCTGGGTACCTGCTCCCCATCCCGTTTCACCTCCCAAGATTCTGCTCACGCTTCAAGCCCTAACTCAGATGCTACCACTTCCATAATGATCCCAGCTGGAAATAACTTCTGAATTGTAAAAGTATCTTATACTATTCACATACATAGCATAATTTAATCATAAGTGGATGCATCTCAATCTCCCTCCCTCGACTCTTTATGCATAGGGCTGAGACCTTCACTGATTTGACCTAGGAGTGCTCGGCATTGCAAATCCAGGAAGTGTTCAGTGATATTTGCTGAATGGACTGAAAGATGAATGAACAAAGGAACACCACCCGAGAAACTCAATAAGGAACTAGGGAGGGAGTTGAATATCTATTTCAGTTTTTAGTTAAGGATAAAAAGACTTTAAATTATACGCCATAAGCAAAAAGGTCTTGGGCATGAGGATCATGGTTTAATAAAACCTTTTATACATGACCGAGGGGATATGTTGGCATTATGAGAGGACAGCTTTCAGGCATGTCAGGAGAATGAGCTGGTTGAATAAAGAGCCCATTACGGCTGTGTCCACTTTAAATATATTAATTATGGATGTGAATAATCGGGGTATTTCATGGTTGCCAAAAAATCCTATGCCTTCCTTTCTCTCTGACAACCAGTAACTCATGTCTCAGTTCCTTTTCCTCCCGTCATCAATCTTCACATCAGTAATATCTCAAGTTCAGACGTGTCTGCAGAGTCCCTTTAGGTTTCTGCTCTACAGGAAATGTTACTTTTAAAACTTGATGCAATGTTTCATATTTTAAATTCATATGAAATTCTTACTATTTCAATGCTTTCCTGCCTGAACTTTTCCACTTAAGAAGCGGGGAAAGCATGATATCTGCAACCCCTATTATCGTTCTGAATTTGAAACTTTTAATTCATGCAAAGAAATCCCAGGTTTGGGGTGGATACAACCCCGCATCTGATATTTGGGTATCACTTCATTTTCACCTAGAACATTTCAGATGAATTGTACATATAAACACGTGAAATACGAATTCATTTTTTTTTTTTTTTGCAAATTATCTTAAAGTAGTATAAGAAGCATGAATGATTAGAACTTTAATAAAGCACATTAAGTAACTGCAGAAATCGAAAATAGCAGCTAAGAGAGCATAGAATCTCTCTGACAGCTACTTCTGCCAAACCTGGTAATTACAGAGAATCCATCAATATTATGGGGCTGGGGGGAGCGGGGGAGGGCAGGCAGACGGGCAGGGTGTGCCTCGTGGGAGAATTAAATGACTCTTCTGAATGCTGAATGAAAATGTGCAGTTACGGTACCTAAGCCAGGAGAGGAGTTGGCTTCTTTGCTCTCCTGGTAAGTGCTGCGTGCTATCACTTCATCCATTTCCTGCTCAGAAACCTGATTTTTAACAGAAAGCACAAATTAGATGGTTTTAGTTATATTTCCCCAGTAAAAGTAGCTAGAACCAGAGTAAGAGGTTGAGTAGAGACAAAGAGGAAAATCACAGGGCCAAGGATTCTGATCACCCTTTGAAGCAGTCACTGAGGGCGTATAAGAAGTAGAGCTGGGTCAACTGACTGCTTTAAACAATGTATTCAAAACAAGACCTTCAATTGGTTCCCAAGTTCATTAATCCAAGTATTCAGGTGCTATAGTTACCAACAACATGGCTGATATCCTCCCCTCTCTGGAACACTCACTTCTAACTTTTTCCTAAACGTTAAACAATTTCAAACCTATACAAAACTTGCAAGGGTAGTACAAAAATAGCAAGCAGACTCTTCACTTAGATTCACTATTTTTTAACATTCTGCCACATTTACACACTCATGCTGTGTTTACACACATGCACACACTACTAAAACTTTTATTAAACCATTTGGGAGTTACTTGCAGACATCATGAGCCCTCACCCATAAACATTTTAGCATGCATCTCCTAAAAACAAGGACATTCTCTTAAATAACCCTGGCATTATTATCAACTTCAGAAAATTTGATGTTGATACAAATGACTGTCCAATATATATTTTATGTTCCAATTTAAACAATTGTTCTAATACTATCTGTCAGGAATGCTACTCAAAGTGTGTCTGGAGACTGGAAGTAGTTCCCAGAAAGTTTGATGCCAGCCTGCGATGAGGATTTTCCTTGAGAATGCAAATCAACACTCTGCTTTCATCAACAGTGTCTTGCCAGGAAAAAAATGTCAACTGAACTAAATGATGTGCACAGTGATGTAACCGATTTACATTCTGGTGCAAGGTCCTTATCTTGCTATGGACCTTTAGTGAACTGTCACTGACCAACTTCTTTGCATAGTAATACTTTTATAGATTTTTTTTGTTTGTTGTTTTGGTAATCAGAATTCAGTTCAGGATCTAGTTGTCATGTCTTTTTCGTCTCCTTTAAGCCAAAGCATTCTGAGCCTTTGTCTTTTATGATACTGATATTTTGGAAGAAACCAGGCCAGTCCAAACCCTCAAAGGATCTGCCTAAGAGTTTTGTCATGCTTAGATTTAGATGACTTTTTTTTTTTGGCAAAAAAACTAAAAAATTGTCTCCTCAGTGCATCACAGAGGCACTTAGGGTCAGTGTGTTTCATAATCGCTAATAATTTGGATCACTGGATTAGGATGAAGTTCACCAGATTCCTCCACTGGATTTTTTTTTTTTTTTGGTTATTAGTGAGCAATCTGTGAGGAGACTGATACTATGTCAATATCCTGCTCCCCTTTTCACTCAATGGTTTTAGCATCATTGATCATTCTTGCTTAGATCAATTACTATGATGAAGTTTTCAAAATAGTGATTTTATAACTTTTTTTCTCTTCTATATTTATGGGTATCATGGTAGATTCATGGATTTTTTTCTCTCCATCAGTTGCTATCCATAACTGTCATTATTCATGGGAAGATTTTTGAAAAGCCCGATACATGCTAAACTATGAGATAGCTTATATAGTTTCTTTTTTAAAGGTAAGAGTATTTTAAACTTAGAATAATTTTGTGTACTGAAGTAACATTTAGCATAAATAATATATTTGAGTAAGCACAGCAATTTGTCTTAATAAGTATATAAATATTTCTATATAGGATTCAGCATTACATGTGAACCTAATAGGTAAATCATAATTGCATTATGGTCTTTATGTAGTACTGTCTAGTAGGCTTTACAGGAAATAAAATACGTACATTTACATGCACACAGGCATATACATTCTCTCTCTCTCTTGCCCTTTCATAAAGCAAAGAGTAGTTTCATATACATGAGCCAGGAATATCAGCTAAAACAGTGGTTGCAAATTTTTCTTGATTTTAGACTTTCAATATTTGCAATTGTTTTTCTAGTGGGAGAAAAATGGTTGGAGTGTGAAATAAGTGAAAGATTTCCTGGGTAATTCTAATCGTGTTGGAAGCCCCAGTACCAATTTAAAATGGACTTCTATTACTTTCTTCTACTTAATGTAGGCTAAAAGATGCTACCTGAGCAGGTCCAAATCTCAGCTTGTCTAGACCTAGAGAGTCTGAATATCCCAAGCAGGCAGCCACTGCTCCAGTCATTATGAGAAACAGAAGGAAAGAAAATCCTTGTGGTATTTCTCTTGGAACAACATAAAAACTAAGGAAGCACATACATTTAGTATCAAAATGTACTACTGGCAGGAAATGCTAGGATCAGTGGTACAAAAATACATTAAACATAAAATGGAATCTTGACCAAAAGAAAACTATAGTATGATGTTACAACTAATAACACCGTATTTACCTAGGGAGAAACGTGAAAACTATTACTGAAATGGGGGTTCGCTGGACATATCTTCCACACCATCGGGACGATCATTTTATTGTGGCTAAAAACATGAATCAACCTGTGTGTTCAATGGGACTAAGGACCGCAGTCCATCAGGACTACCATGTTTTGCACAGAAATGCCTTTTTTTTAAATATATATATATATATTTGACTGTATTGGCAAATTAAGCAGATGCTTTTGGGCCAAGATAATAGGGACCTCTGAACAAATCATGACCTGTGTTATGCTGTAATGGATTTTGAAGTCAGACATGCCTTGAAGCCATTAGACTGCAAACCACTGAGAACTTAACTTTCTATAATCTTGCTGAGGGATGTGTTAGGTCAGCCACAGCTTATTGGACTGTGTCCTAAGGTGGAAGGAGGTGTGGCCATGTGGGAGGAAGAATCCAAGAGAGGACCCTAGAGGAAAGGGCTAAGACTGCTCTAGCTGTGGCTATGCGGCAAAACTGTGTTAAAAGTGACCCGAAGAGAGGCCATGGCCGCAGGAGGGGAACAAAGTAGAACAGATTCCAAGGGAAAAGGTCAGGACTACAGAACAGAACGGGAAAAAATGGGAAGTGACAAATAGGAAAGAAAAGAAAATAGTAGAAGCAGGACTTGGTGTTATATTAATGATATTTACTCAAGGAGTTTTTAGATAAAACATTTCTGAGAGTGTACACAGACAAGAGAAAACGATCTGGGGGGAAGAAAAGTAGTGGAGTTGACTTTGAATCAGGCTAATGACAATCTCTGTCCAAGCTCTGTGCTTGACATCACCTTGCCAGAGCAAGGCATGGGGTCACAGCTTGATAGCACTTACTTGTATTGGGGAGAACCGGTACCACAAAGGACCACCACTGAGATACTAAAAATGATGCCATCAAGTTAATACACTAAAGAAATCCAGATGTGGCACATGAGAGAACCCATAAGGTCTTTTGGCACAGACTTCTTACTCTTAAAATGTCATACAAGTCTATGAAGTACAGCAGCCTGGGACCATTTAGGTATAATCGAATAACACTACAAATAATAATACAAAGTGGGTGATGGCCGGCCATGACAGGTATAGGAACAACTGATGTTCTTAATAAGCATTCTGAATTGTTAAAAGGAGAGACTTAAATTTCGTAAAATATAACCCAAGTACAATGTTAGAGACAAGCTAATTTTACGATTTTCACATCAAGCACTCAAAACAAGTGCTCAAAATGGGTTGAGTTGAATTTGCTGAAGTGTCCTGTGGTTACCTTAAAAAATTAAAAGCAACTGCACGAGTACAGAAGAAATAACCAAATAACAGCATAGGCCAATGAGACAGGGGCTATGATTATCTGCAAGTTTAATATGGGTCAACAGTGTGATATCAATGCTAAAAAAAATGTAGTGGCTCTTAAGCCTCAATCACAGAAGTGTTCTGCTCAGGTCAGGAATAGCCTGGACAAACCATCTAGTCTAATGCTCTCAGATTTTCTTTATGCAGAAACCTAAAGAAATTGAGTGTCTCACCAGAGATCAAACAGCCAGCTGGCGGGGGTGGGGGGGTGGGGGTTAATCATAACTCAGTACTCCTACTTTCTACCAAATTTTAAATTCACCAATAACAGTGTCAAAATTGTCTAATAAAATTTTCTAAGAGTGTGAAGATGAAGAAGTCCAGATCGATGTCTCATTCCCCACGCGTACCAGCTACCTTGGCCATTGCGTGGCCGTAGACTGATTCCCATCCCCAGCTGGGTGAACTGTCCCACCAGAGTATGCATCATCGTTGGAATATATGTGTCACTGTCACTGCTACTGGACAAATAGCCAAGCTGTCTTCCCATACTCAGAACAGTATGAAATATTTCACCTTTGGATTGGGGTGCCGACCGATGACAAGACGAACGGGTCCTGGGGGGCATTTGCTCAAGATGGCGTGGACTTTGCTTAAAGCAGCATGGCGAACGTTAACGGAGTTCACTTCCAGGATTTGATCTCCACGGCTAGGGGTAAAACATAATCAGTACTTGTGGTAACAGTTAGGTTTTTACAGGATTTCCTTCTAGGAGAGGTTTATCATACGAGATCTTTTAAAAATACTTTAAAGAGGCAAATGATATCTTGTCATCTTTGCATACGTGTAAAAGAGCAACACATTTATATAAACACTTTAGATTTTAAATGGGCAGAAGTCATTATGCATATCTACTCGCATTTTCAGAAGTAGTAAAGTTAAATAAAATGGATAAAAAGGACAACGAAGGCTACCATTTGCTGAGCACATAGTATATGCCAGGCACTATGTACGGGACAATTTCCATAACGATGTTTGAATAGGTATTATTCCCATTATGTAGATAAGACTGCAGGCTCAGAGAGGTCACCCAGATGTCTCACCCAGACTTCACACACTGTCGAACTCAGGGCTACCATTTGATACCATTTGATCACCATGTGACATCCCCTTGACCACCATCAATTTCTTTTTTCCTACCATCTTGAAATGATTATTGTAATATAATTTAAGGAGGAAATACCTGAAGCTCAAAGGTTACCCAAGAATTTGTAAAAATGTTTCAAATTTGAACAAATGAGAAATTGAGGACAAGATGCCCATTTGACTTGAAATTACAGGGAAAGTACTCAGTAGAGAGAACAAAGACTCTTTATATGGGGTTTGAAGAATGTTCATTTGGCAGGCTCCAGACATATGGAACCATTCAAGAAAGAAACATCATCTTGGGATATCATTAAAGGATTTTTTTTTTTTCCTGAGGTTCTAAAAGTATATTTTCTTTAATGTACTTTGGATGATTTGCTAAATTTATTTTCATATGGAAATTCACTCTGAAGATTAACTAAAAATATAATATAATCTATTAACAGGGCCCAAAAATGGCAACCTCAAGGAATGTCATTTTGACAATTCCTCAACTGCTCAAGGACTTAGAAGCTTATGGGGAGAAAGGTGATACTGTTTGCATAGAGTGCTTTGTGTAATGCGTGTGCATTCTTGTGAGGGTTAGGTGGGCACAGGCCCATTGCAGCTACCGTATAACAGAACACCTAAGCATGTCTTGTATAAACAGAATACCCATGCTACAACCCAGCTAGCTGGATTCAGAAATCAGACACGCAGTGATTTCAGGCAGTAAGCATCTAGACATCACCACTCAAAAAGGAATGGAATAACAAAAAAGGTTAACGAGATTATACTTCATAATAAAGGCCTCCCGTTTAAGGGTATGATTCCAGCACTCTCTCCTCTTCAGTGATTCTGAACCATTACGAACTGTTCTCAGCATCTCAAATAAATTTTACATAACGAAATATAACATAAAGTATTTAGATAATCATAGATAAGTACATGAAGTTGTATTTTGTCAAGTTTCTGAAACTGAACTTCTGTGTCCAAATAGAACAAAACAGGTAGGGAGAAACCAAGATCCAGAGTTCACTCATTCAACCAAATTTCATTTATATTATATTAGCTTTTCATCTTTGGAGATGCTAATAATTACAATCCTGGCTATATTTCTGCAAATGATAAAAAGGATTAGAACGTCCTGAAGGAGCGTCTTAGGGTAGGCATCTCATGTGTGCATGTAGCCATGTGTTCACACACAAGCCAGAGCAGTGTACTGTCAGGCCTACAACGAACCTCAGATTGCTCTCCATCTTGGCCACTGACCCTGGGGCAAGGCTGTGAATGTAGATGCCCGGAGGGCTGTTTTCCAGGGCGAGGCAGCAGGCACCAATGCCCAAGCCAACTCTGGGCTCTGCAAAACGCCAAAAAAAAAAAGAAGCATGAGTGATTTGAAACTGCGTTCATGTATATTCAGAGCAATAACCATTTATTTTTCGACCAGACTCAAAGTAAATCCCACTTTTCTTTGTCCACATTGCCTCATTCTGTTAATGAGTCCTTGACAGAACCAGGCGCTAACTCTGGACTATGAATTAATCAGTGGTCCATTCTCTGCTTAGTCTAAAGGGTCTCTCAAATCTGTTTTTGGAAATAGGCAGAGTCGAAGTAATAGAGTTTATTCTGGATACACAACTTAAGGTTTTCTTTCACCTCTCTTTTTAGCAACTAATCTCTTGGTTATTTAATTGCCCCTCATATTTCTACAGTGGGTGGAGAAGAAAATAACGATGAAAAGCAGTCAGATGTGGTGATGACTCATGACTTAGTTACTGTATATAGTGTCAACTGTATTCCTAACTATAATCTTTTGCTCTTTAAGATTTTATATGGGTACTAGAATTAAACTGGGCAGTGGCTTTTTTAAACATGAGTTTCTCAAAAAACAGTGACTTATCTGGGGAGAGCTTAAAGGATTGTGTGTTATTCCCTTCGCTTTAGTAAAATGACTAAAATCTCTGTTTTTGATCCCACTGTCCATTTAGAGAAGATCACATGATGTTGGTAGTAGAGTATTCCAAAGGAACAATTCACAGAAAAAAAAAAACTAACACAAAAAGTTAACCTAAGAACAGATAACAAACTGCTACTTGAGAGAATGTAATGAAAGTGGCCAACAGCTGGTATCACCTTTGTTGAGCGTTACTTCCATGACAATTCTATCCTTGGGCCCAGGGGCCTTCCGACCCAGAGAGGAAGAACTGCTTTCATCTGAGCCTACTGCTGAGGTTCCCCCGCTGGCATTGAAGTTTGGGGAGCTGGATCTGCTCATGTGTGTGGGTGTCGAACAGGGTGTGAGGCTCGGGCTCAGTAACTTCGTGCGTACCGTTAAGACAAATAATCCACTCCGGATTTGCTGGGAAAACAAGAAGAAAGTAAGGCTTAAAACATTCAGACTATCTCTATGTCAACAGCTGAAAAAAATAAAATAAAATCACCAAACCCAAACCAGAAGGAAATTAAGAAAAATGTAAGAAGATAACAGAGACCAATGAGAAGGTTATTACCTTAAAAGTATGAATAGCTTCTTGAAACGTCAAGCCCTTTATTGGTATTCCATTTACATCTAGGATTTCATCCCCTAGTAACCAAGTAGGAGAATTACATTAATGTCAAGCTTTAATTTACTGGAATCGAACTGTTCAATCTGTACTAGAATAGAATACTACGTAGTCTCTGATTTACAACTCCATAAAATGAATTTTATTATTCCAATCCACTTTCATTAGCTTAGCTCCCAGGAATGTCACAAAATGGGACAATTAATGACAATGCATATTCTTTTGCAGTAATTTTCTATTTCCATCTTTAATTAAGACAATTATAGGAAGCATCAAGATCTTATTCTTTCGCCACGGCCAGGTTTGATAATAGATGTCCTTTGTTTAGAGATCAAACTTCAAAAGCTGCATCTCAAGTCCTTCCTCAGAGTCTTTGTTTAAAAATTTAAACCCTTTGGCAATGAAGCACGAACACATACAACATGTGAGAAGCCATTCCTGTATTTGCAGAAAGAGAAGCTCTGAGCCCCTGGAGAATCATCATAGAGCGTAAGAATGGTTTCAATAATTGAGACAAAAAACTTGTGAGGTATTATTTAGGAATAGCAGCCCACAGTCTAGATGCCTGGTCTTATTGATGATGTTCCAGATTCCCAGCCATTAAGCTGACAAGTTACTATATGCTTCCATCTAAAAGATTACTATGAGTTAATCTCAAATTACGCATGTGTTCTCTTTCTTCCTCCCCACCCCCTCCATCCTAGACTCATCTTCAACCCCCAAAAGGTACAGTCAGGTCATTTTTCAAGCTGTTGATAGTGTCTGCTGGGAATATAAAAGAACTTGGACATCCTGTTGACTTATCAGAGCTTCTTTCTAGTTTGTACTCTTGTAACGTGGCCTGTTTTTTAAAATAACAGTTCATCCAAAAACTACAAAGGGGCCTCTGAGAAAAGAACGGATGAACCTTGCACAGCGGTGCAGGACAGAGGAGGGGCCTCCCTTGCCTATAGCAAAGTGCAAAGCAGCATAACTCACACTCCCTCCTCTCATGGACGGCTGACCCGCGAGCACACTGCGATTCGGATGGAAGGAATCCTGTAGGTGAGTTTAAGAATGCGGCAGTGTCCCGTGCATTTGTTATGTGCCTTCTCTTTAATGCCATTACAGAAGTTGTAAAATGAGTGAAAGAATTTGTTTAAAAAATCACCTGGCATAACCAATTACTCAAAGAGATGAGGTTTCGGGTTTGTTTCCCCACAGGAAGAAGGTGGAGACATTAAAATGACTGCTCGTGCTCTTAACAATCTTTATATAAGATTTGAAAAAGACAGATCGTTCAACAGGTTGACGATCCATTCCAATAACTTGCATTTACTGTTAATGAATACAGATGAAAAAAAGAAATAGGAAGAATCAGGTGCTATTAACCTTTCCTAACTATTGATTTTTTCTCCCATTTTGCTCTATTCTACCAGCACTGCAGGATGAATTTCAATCAGGTGAACACATGGCACATCCATTATAAAAATGCTCTGCTAGAATTTTACATTGTTCTGAAAGGAGATACACAAACACCACCTGGGAGTTAATTGTTCCTCTAAGAGAGAAAAATAAATATTCTGCCATCAAAATATTAAGCTTGGTCACGTTTTATCATTAGTATACAGGCTTCTAGGGTCACTCTGCCTGAAAAAAAAAGGAGACTCCAAGTCAATCAGTTGAAAAAAAAAAACAAGCCTGTTTAATACAATAGCACCTATAGTCTGAGAAAACCGAACTGAACAGTTTGAATAGAGATACTGTGATTTAGTCATTTCATGAAGGAAGTATATTAATAAAAAGAAAAAATCAGAATTCATGAGTAAATTCTGGGGATCTAATGTGCAGCATGGTGACTGTAGTTAACAACACTGTGTTATAGCCTTGAAAATTGCAGACAGTAGATTCTAAATGTTCTATACACACACACACACACACACCCACATACCCCCACCCCTGGTCATTACGTGTGGCGATGGAGCTGTTCGCTAACCTTACTGTGGCAATCATTTTATAATGTATTAGTGTATTGACTCATGTTGTACACCTTAAACTTACATAATGCTATATATCAATTATATCTCAGTAAAGGTGGAGGACAAAAAGCACTTGTTTTTGCGTGTCAAAATGGTAGCTGTTACAGAGAACGCAAAAGATGTTTATGTGCTCCAGCCTTGAGGCAAGAATGGACCACAAAATCTCAGGAATTTTTAAGGCAAAGAACAAGATCAAGGACCAAGGAGACAAGGTAGACATGTAAAGACCCGAGTAAAAATACCAAGCCACTTTTCACATGATATCTAATTTAATCCTCACAACAACGCTTCGAGGTAGGTATTAACACCTCAAGTTGACAGCTGAGGATCGTGAAGCTCGGGTTACATCAGTTGTTCAAGGTCATAATGTGGTAAGTGTTGCAGTCAGTCCAGGTCTACTGGACTCCCAAGTCTACCGCATCAGCTGTGTGTCATTCATTTCACGTCCTGCAAAGGGGCAGATTCCCATGGAACCAAAGCTCGCCGCCACGGAGGACAACTGAGGAATAAAGAGACTTTTTCCTACCTTCTTTAAGTCTTCCATCCTCTGCAGCTGATCCATTTGGGAAAATGGTCTTGACAAAAATCCCCATCTGTCCTCGGATGCAGTCTCGACCACCAGCAATGCTAAAACCAAGGCCCTACACCCAAAGCAGGGGTCCAGGTTGTCATTTCAGTATTTAACTGAGGGTGCCCTTCCCATTGCAGTGTTTAACTGAGCTGTCCTCCCTAGCCAGGCTCAGAGTTAAGGTAACTAGCTGTAAAGTCAAGTTGTGTTCCCTTCTCCACTTCTCAGATCTATTGGCGTTGTGCTAGCTATGCATGATATTAAAGACAGAAAGTTTTAGGTTGAAACATAAAAATGCCAATATTTGACAATCTTTGATTTCCAATAATGGCAATTTTACCTGGATCAATGAATAGCTCACGAGAGTCATTTCACACTATTTAGGTGCCACATCTGTTTTATTCTTTTGTTTCGGTCTTTCTATTTTGTGTAATATCAAAATGGATATTATATAATGGATTTGTATAATATCAAGTTATATGTATGATTTGCTTTCTGGTAATGGCAATACCATGAAATTCATTTAAAAAGATAACTAGGAATATTCCCCCAAACCACAGGGTCTGCTTTTCTCGCAATAGTTGGAAAGGTTGGGGCGTTCACTCCACCTGGAATTGTGCCCTAGCTGCCAGGTATTGGTGACTCCTAACATCACAAGGGCAACACAGGGTATGACCCTGTCACTTGGGGGGGTCCACAGGAAAGGGTGCCCGAGAATCCACTCAAATCCACACAAAGGCCACTTAAGCGTCTTACTTTTTATTTCATATAAAAACGACAATAAGAAAAAGTAACCGTTTAAGAGTATATGCTAACGTTCACCTGGAAGGCAAAACGGCAGGCAGAAAAGAGCTCACCTTGCCTTTTTCTTTGTACAGTCCGATGATAGAGATGACCGACGGCCGAATGAGTCTCCATGGAGACTCCACCTGCGTGGTGCTTAGGGAGCGGGTGGACTTCTTCACGATGTGGTATTCCTACAAGTCAGCACATGGCAAGTCAGAGAGAGTCTCGTTTATCCTTCTGTGGCCTCTGGCATAAAAATACATTGATTTTGGAAACTTCATTGTCTTTTGGGTTAGATAGCCATTTCTCTCTGGTCCATCTCTGATCCAACGGCTTCAAGAAAGCTGATTACAAATAACACTGGAGGAATAGCCCCTTCAGCAACAGACTGCCACGCCTTCCTCCTCCCCGTGGAGAAGAGCTTGGAGGCTGCGAACACCTGGTGTTTCTTTCCTTGACCGTACCCCATGGATCCTGCTTCTTGCTTTCTGGGATAGAGTCAGGAACCAGCAACTCAAGGCCTCAGGGAGGTAAGATGACCAGCCTGGGGTCAGGTTCTCCTTCAGAAGTCATCAATTGCCCCCACCCCAAGTTCACAATCATGGTTAGAAAGTATCTCACCATTTTAAGCTTAACTTATTCACTCGAAAACTTAGTAAGCCCTTGTTTCTTATAAAACCCAAACTGCAAACCCAGATAACTGTTATTCCGTATAAAACACCCCACTGAGAAACCGTAGCAGCTTTGGTTCTGATCTCACATTTGGACAATAAAATATTTTCCCATAAGCCACACTTTCTCTTTCTGGCACGTAGCAATGCAAACCTTGATTTCTTTTTCCTGTCCATCATCCACAATGTACACACGTGTAAACTCGGTGTACTATTTATAATATAAACAAGAGATGAGTCTATTGCTAAAGCATTTCTAGTCTAGCTCCTTGCTATTCTTCTTAGAGTAATACAATTTCTTAAATGATGGATGTTTCGGCATAAGCAAAAAAAAAAAAAAAAAAAAAAAAAAAAAAATCACCTCGTGTTTAATATGAGAAAAGAGATATCAGAAATAATTTTTATCCTTGGAGTATTCTATGCATTCAAAGGTAGAAACGACATGTCTGCTAATGATATTTTTGTATTCCTGGCAGCTTAGAACAATTATGGTAGGCAGTTTTACAAAATATCTGCCAGCTATGTGGGCCTCCCAGACTCAGATTCAATAAAAAAAAAAATGATGTTGGCTTGGCAAGGTTACTGAACTTTTACTGATATCACTATGGAAACAGCCAGATGTGGCCCATGGGTTTTCAGCCCTTGAATCCAGAGGTTCGTGTGTGGACTCGTAAGGGAACTCTTTCTTTGATCCCCGAGCTCCAGCAGCACCTCATCCCATCTCCTTTGGGAACCAGTGGGGACCAGAAGCCTGCCTGCTCTACTGTTCTCTCAAAGAGTTTGGGGGTCCCCCTGCACTTTCTAGACCTGTGTTATGCAATGGGGCAGCCACTAGACACCTGTGGTTGTCGATATTTAAAATAAGACGAATTAAAATTAAAAATACATTCCTCAGTCTCACTAGCCACTTTTCACATGCTCATTAGGCACATGTGGTGACCACGTTGGCAGTTCAGATACAAAGTATTCCCATCTCTGCAGAAAGTTTTATTGGCTAGCTCCATTCTAGATAATACTTTTTAGTGGATAAAGACAGAACAAGCAAAAAGAAAGGTGAATCCTGGGAGAAAAAGAAAAATGCAGAAAATAAGGAGAGAAGAAAAGAGAAAGGATAATTTGAAGAGGGAAAAAAAAGTCTTTTCTCTAAATCTTCACTAGTCTGTTTCCTGGTTCCCGGAAGCTGGAAGCAGATATTTCTAGGCTATATAAATATGGTCGGGTTTCCTCAGCAGGTCAGTTAAGAAATCACCACCTCGGTGCCAGATGTCCTTGGCCACGATGGCAGTAAACCCTCTCTCATCTTCCACACTAAAACAGCCCGACAACGTGGCTTCCCTACCACTTTTGGATCTCCCGGCTCTGTTGATCCAATGGATCATTCTGAGCAGGCCACAGATTTGTCTCTAGGGATTTTCACCAGGTCCCAACCAAGGTTCCTACTCTGTTTTCTCTCGGTGCCCCAACTCAAGTTGCGTTTGGGTGGATTCAACACAAAACAGACTGATGAGCAACTGCCTCTGAAATGTGGGTACCTTTCATTCTGTTGGTCAGACAAAACTTTCTTCACAGTGATTGAGACTTATCACTTTGAGCAAAACACCTTGCCTCTGAGATTCAGCTGCCCTATCTGTAAAATGATGATGACACATTACAAGTAAGGGCCTGACCCAGGTGTCCTGCCCAGGTCCTTTAGAGCTCTATAATGTGTGAGTCTCCGAGCATTCATAGGTGTCATTACTGCCACACCCTCCTCTCCTCCATCTCTGCTTCATCATAGGTCTGGGCAAGATGCCAGTGGTTCCTCTTGAGCCCTCTAGCTGATGGTACTTGGGCTCAAAGAACACTCCGCAAGTTCCCCAGAGACTGAGCCTGCCTCCGACTTGGTTGTGAGATGTCTGCCCAGTTATGACTGGATTGAGGACAATATAATTGAGAAGCCCGTTTAGCATTATGGAGCCCTGAGCATTTATGGGGACAGGCTTTAGAATATTAAGATCACCACCTACTTCATCTCTTTCTGCAGCCCCCTCTGCCCCTGGCTATTTGAGTCACTACCGTGTAACAGGCAGGACCCCAGGCACAGGATAGGTACATACGCATCCCCTCCTCTCTCACACAACCCAGCATCCACCCACTCAGTTGTTAAACTGACACCTGACATGCCCACTCAACACGCGATATTGGTTCACCATAGACAGAGCAGTGCAACTGTCTCCTGGCAGTTGAAAGCAGTTCTTGGTTCCAAAACACACAGTAAGAAGAGAATCAAGATGCCAAGATCCAACAAGGGATTATTTTTCTCTCCTGTCTTCAACTATTAGGCTGACTTCCTTCTAACCCCGCTGGATGGACCTCACTCTCTGTGCTACAATCTGGTCCCAAATGCTCCTGGCTCACCTGGACGGGCGGTTCTTCAGAACATGGAAGCTCGTGCTGGACTTTGAAAGAATAAAAGCAAGCCTCGAGACCTGGAGTGGAAACATGTTCTTCTACCCTTGATGGGTCAACTGTGACTGCATGAGAACGTAAGAGGCCCCGTGGGATTGGACTACCTGTGCTGTGCTCGAGTCCAGTAGCTGGGGAAGAGAGTGCTTTCTGCCGTCTCGGGAGACCTCCAACATCCTGGCCCGGGGGTCCCCATTTCGCACCATCAGCTCATTATATTCTTCAACAGACTCTAGACGGTGTACACCCCCTTGAAAAAACACGGGGCAAAAAAGACATGGCTTGATATGGGGCAAAAAATTCTTCAGAGCATACAAAGGTGTAAACCTGCTGCATTTATACACAGTCACGGTTTTCAGAAGACCTGGTGTCCAGTTCTTTGAAAGCACTGAGCTCACTGCCTTCTACCGTCAAGCTCTGCATAAGCTAGGTGTGTGCTGTAGACATGAATGCCAGATTACGAAGAAAGTGCCAGTTTTTAAAGGGACCAGACTACGTAATAAGGGCAATGTGTATGTTTCATCCAAGTAAGATGTAGCCTCTGGCAGCTTATTGGCAAGGCAATAAACAGTAATGAGGATGCTCTCAGTGGATGGTTTTCTAGTGATGCAAGGAATATCACTAGATACTACTGTGGTTGCTATGGTTCTTCTGGTGGGGCAGATGCTATTTTTTTCAGGTATGGTAATAACTTTTGAAAGAAACTTTTTTATTAAAGTATAACAACTTACAGAAATGTGCAGAAATCATTAATGTACAGTTTCATGAAATTTCACTAAGTGAACGTACAAATAACACCCAAACCAAAAAAAAAAAACAACCCAAAGCCCCTTTGTACCACTAACTCACCTAAGGGTAATTATTATCCCGACTTCTAACATCATGGATTACTTTTGCCTATTTTCAAACTTTATATAAATGAACACATACAATATACACTTTTTAAATGTTTGGTTTCTCATTCCTTGCTTTGTTTGTGAAATACCACATCTTATTGCATGCCAATAGTTTGTTCATCCCATTTCTAGATGCTACTTCGTTGTATAAACATATCACAATTTACTTACCCATTCTATTGCTGATGGACATTCGGTTTGTTTCCAGTTTCAGATCTAGAACAAGGGTCAGCAAATTCTTTTTGTAAAGGTCAGACAGTCAATGTTTTAGGCTTTATGTGCCACACGTAGTCCGTGTTCCATATTCTTTAAAAAATGTTTTTACAACCCACTAAAAAGTTAGAAAGCATTTCTAGCTCGTGGGTCATACAAATACAGCCATAGGTGGTAGTTTGCTGACTCCTGATCTACAATATGCTGTCATTGAACATTCTGGTACTTGTCACATCTGTCGGATGCAGATCTGGGAGTGACGTTGCTGGGGTACAGGTATATATGCACCTTTACCAACACTGTATCACCAGCAGGCACGAGTCCTAGTTTCTGCACACCTGTGTCACATTTAACAGTGTCAGTCTTTTTAATTTTATCCACTCTGATGGACATAGAATGGCGTTTCTTTGTGGTTTTCAGTGGACATTTCACTGATGACTAGTGAGATTGATCTTCTTTTAAAATACTCACTGTCTGTTTTTCTTTTGTAAAGTTGCAAAGTGCCTGCTCAAGTCTTTTGCTCATTCTTTAATTGGGTTTCTGTCTTTTTGTTGTTGATTTACAGATTTTAATTTGTTGTTAGTATATTTTGGATATTTGGATAGACCATGGGATCTATGTATTACATATATCTTCTCCGTGTCTCTAACTTGCCTTTCCACTCTCTTAATGGTATTTTTTGATGAGTAAAAGTTCATAATTTTAATGTAGTATAATATATAGATTTTTCCCTTTATGGTTAGTATTTTGTTTCCTGTTTAAGAAATTTATATAGTAACAATTTTTAAAGACACTGTTATCAGTACTTCCTTTATATTATATGCTGTTTTAAAATAAGATAATTTAAGGAAATTTAATTTTAAATGATAGCTTTAGTCATATTACAATGTTTACATTACATACTATATATATAGCTATACACACGTAGATTCTTTGGAATATCAAATTTTCCTAGATCATGTAATGTTTCATGTGATGACATTAAATTTCAATTTACCTAAAAATTTCTAAGTTTTTCATAAAACAAGATGATTCTGTACTCTTTTAAAAATAATATATTGATGTTTTAATAGTGATGAAGAGTTAAAATAGGGCTGATACAGTTATATTGAAGTGAACATCACAAAAGGTCTGGTTTTTCAAAAGCTAAATATTAACTTTATGATACAGGTTTTCAAACACCTGAAATTCCTTTTGAGAAAGAAAAATTTCCATTTAAAAAGATCACAAGCCTAAGGCATTAACAGGGATAAATCAAAAATAGCAAAATTAAAAGGGAATCCTACTGGCAAAAAAGAAGGCACGAAGTAATGAAAACTCAGGTTAGAATTTCAGAAAAAAAGGTTCCATGAAATCGCTTTAGTCATTTTGGAGCCAGGCTGGGCAAAAATCATAGCAGAAATGGCTGGAACCTCTTTACAGACCCTTCTTAATAATTCACGACGAGATTAATGTTGGCATGCTTACTCATCTGAAAAAGATTTATTAGAAGAAAATTCCTTTTGAGCTGACAGGGAGGCACTTGCATAAACAGACAAGAAACCACGTACGGCAGTGTGTGTAGATGATGTACTGATGGGTGAATACCAGAGTGGCTCACTTTAAGAAAATAGGAAATAAATATCCAAGTTTACAGGGCAAATTAAGAACTGATCCCATTAAAAGCTTCTGTATTCAAGTGTCTTTAGACTGAACATATATCACAGCACTGAATGTAGACCCCGTTCCTTAAGCCTCTTTAACAGGCCTTCGAATTGCCTTTCCAGTCTGATCTCCCACTACCTGGCTACGCGAAATCACTGCTTTCGCCTGCTGATTCTCAAAGGAGAGGATTTGTCCTCCACCTGCACCTTTTCCAAAACTGGGGAGCACATAAATAATAGTCGAAGTTTCGCCCAACTTTGCCAGCACCTTCGGCTCCCACCCCAAGTGTCTCCTTTCTCCTAATCTCTCTGACGAGCTCTGCTGGACTGAATCGCCGTGACTGCTGGACTACTGATCTTTCAGTAGATGAGGAGGAAAAACAGTTGTCCAAAACGACTCTAACCAACTTTCCCCGCACTGTCCCTAAGCACTTCTTGAGCATTCTGTCCCAAGTTTAGACCACTGGTTTCCTCACCTTCTGTTCTACCAAATCCTGCCAAGGAACTGGCCCTCCTTTATCGTGCGTCCTCTGAACGCCTCCCCTGAGGGCCACAACCCCGACACGTCTTGTGCTGCCTTATCATGGCCTGTAAGTTCTTGAGAATCTTTCCTGTCTGAACCCACTGAAGCACTTCCTTTCTTTAGAGGAAAAGAGGAGAGAACAATGAAAATGACGACGATGAGGTGATATCAGTGACAACAATGCTAATAACAGTGGCAGCTGCCACACAGTGAGGGCCTACTGCTGCCATGCTCCAGGGTGGCAGTGCCTCGTGCATCCTTCAACAAGCCCCGGCACTCAGAAGGCACCCACAATGACTTGCAGAATGAACGAACAAAGGCCCAGAGAAGTCAAGTCTCCTGTCCCAGGTCACACAGCCCGTAGTGGCAGAGCTGGGAAGTGAACACAGTTCTACCTGACTTCATGCATGTGCTTCCTGGACTATCCTACATTTCCTCATTATGGCCCTGGACGTCTGGGAAGGGTACAGGAAGGAAGGGTGGCATCCATTTGTGGTAAACAGTAGCCAGCCCTGGATTTACTACTCAGCGGAACACGCTGCTCGTTCTAAATAGTACAGAGTTGGAGAGTCCTGGGTCTGGAAGGTCCTCAGCCATACCCACCTCCCCACATCTATATCTATGAAGCCCCAGACTGAGAACAGGATTCTTTTCAAGATCCTCAGGAAGTCAGAGGGCGGGTAAGAAGAACTCTGTCTGGGAGGCAGATCACATTGCTGGCACCGAATGAGTGACCTTTGGGATTCCCTTAACTTCTCCGTTCTTATCCATAAAATGAGGAATGTGACTGCACTGGTTTCAAAGGTCCATGATATTTCCCCAGAGTTCTGTGGCCCTCCCCTAGGAACCGTCTATAAGGTGTTGATTAACTCTGCCAAGACAGCTGAGCTAAAGATCTCCTCTAGGCCCCTGTGACTTCTGATTCCAAACACACGCAGGATTTAAACGTAATTCTCTCAGTTGTTCCTTGGGCTAAAGGGGACCTGGTCTTCCTCTCCACAAGAGGACCCTGGACACGACATCCCTCCTCAGTCTTAGCCCCTGGTCCTCACCCTGCTCTAGTCACAAACCCACATTCTAACATTCACTCAGATATATACTGCCTAATCATTCTGAGTTACGAAGTCATCCATTTTGTTACTTGGCTTTAAAAAAAAAAAACCCTGATGTAGTTTATGGTCTTAGATTTGCCACCTTACCTGACAATGACTCAGCAGAGGGCCAGGCGGAGCGGGCAGGCATACACGCCACCTCTCTACTGATTTAGGTGGCACGAAGAGGAAACCGATGTTTTTTAGAGGTTAACATACATGGTTTGTGCTAGCTGCTTTTATGTGAGTTTACTTTTATTATTTTTTAAAATCTGACCTTTCGAAGTCAGGATTATTAGTTCCTTTTTTCAGGTGAGAGACTGGAAGTTCAAGGATGGTGAATACCCAGCCCAACGTCATAAGGTAACTCAAGAGCAGAGGGGTAAACCTGACTCTGTCAAGCTTCCAAACTCTTACTTTTCCTGCTATACCAGGATGTCCTTTACGGGGACAGCCAGGGCCGACTTCTCCCTCAGGCCACAGACATAGTGCTGAGGGCCGCACCACTTTTATGGGCCCACAAAAATGTTTTAATTTCTTTTAAAATCAGAAGAAAAAAAAAAAAGGACATAGTAGTAGTGAATAGTTAATAATGAATCCAGCTTGTATCGTTACACCAATGAAGCCATAAGATATAATTTTTAGTATTTTCAATAGAGGAAAGAGCCCATCGAGGCGAAAGTGCTGAGGATCCACGGAAGCCATCTGGTCCCAACACATGCTTCTGCTTTCAACACTAACTTTCTCTCCCAGGGCATGGGCCAGCTGCTATAAGGATGTGCCCAGGAAATGTCAAATCTAGTTGTTTCAAAAGCTGTAACTCCATCTCTCCCCGCCTCCCCAGCTTAGGTGAAATACAGGTTGGATATGAGCTCTTTGCCCCTTGTTCTGGTGGACCAAGGGAAGTATGCTGGCTGCAAAGATAGGCCATCGGGGACATCACACAGTGAAAGGGTCACCTGAAGTCCTATGGAAGTAAATGAACCAACGGGAAATTTAAATTTCAGCAGAAACAAACAGAGATGTTGACATTCACGTCATGATGACTCAAATAAAAATATTCACATGGGCAGCCAGGCTGAAAGCAGTTTTATGCCTGGGACATGCACGAACTTAAAGAGAAAACAACTTTGAGGTTTTAAGGAAAAAAAGGACCTCATCTTGCTAGTAACTTGGTCTTCCCGCTCTGAAGGCCGGAAGCTCATTTTCGGACAGGTCACGTCAGGCAGAGAGTCTCACTTACCTGAAAGACGACTCTTGAGCTTCATTTTACTGCTGCCCTGTTTGGGACTTTCCAGGCTTCCTTTGGAATCCTCAGAGCCACACGAATCTTGGGGTTCATCTGCCCGAGGGATCTGAAATGCAGACAGCACAGAGCTGACGGGAGAGGCTGGCTTGCAGTTCCCTCCCAGAAGTTATCTCAAGGCTCAAGGAGCAGCAATCCAGGTGTCCCGTGAGGTATACGGAGCAAAGCAAAGCTCTACAGATCACCTGGAACAGACGTGGCCTCATGCTGGCCAGCTCCTCCTCCTCACATGCCTTACCGCGCAGATAGAACTAGGGAGGGTTCAAAGTTTATAGGGCCCCGACGGATCTTTTGACTTCTTGAGGAAACTTGTTGGACAGTCACCCGTGTGGTCACAAAGCCATACATAGAGCCCAGGTGTCATGACTTATGGGATAGTGCTTTTTCCTACCGTGCAAGTTGCAACAGATATTAAAAGAGAAATTTGAACTTAATCCTAAGGTTCTTAAAATATGGTAAAACTTTGATTTTGGGGCAGCCAAACAGCCACATCCTTTGGGTCAACCAGATGTTCCACATGCTACACTCTTGAGTATTGACTGAAAACTTCCCGGAATCAAGCATTGTGTAGGCTACATGGAGGTGTCCACGTAAAGTCAGCCCCCACATCTGTTAGTCATATGTCTACACTAGCTGATCCCAAGAGGTGATGCAGAAAGGATGATCTCAAGGTCCGTTGGGTCCTCTGCCTGAGAAAAGCCAAACATGCTTAAAAAAAAAAAAAAGAAAGAAAGAAACTATGTTTATAAGAGAGAAGAGACTTATGCACTGAGAGTGTTTATAACAAATTTGGAGGGTAAATTTACATGTACAAAACTTATGAAATACATCAAACAGTGAATCTTCCCATTTGGCATATTATTTTTCTTTGAGGTTCTGGAGGAAATAAAGTCATATTAATAAAATAGAAGGAACACAGATATACTTTCCAAAGATAAAGACTTTAATATTTAGCAGTCATTGGAAAGTCATGTAATTGTAATGTAAAAAGATCCCTGAATTTTAACAGATAATAAAAATCACACATTATATATTAAATTCAGTATATGAAAATGTATAAAGTAAGCAGTAAGAGAAATCTCCCAGGCAACCTCCCCTTCTAAGAGATAACTGTATATGTAATAAATAAGATTTGGAAGACTCCTCCTTTGCCCTCAAGTTCAAGCATCTTTCTGGATGAGAAAAGTGGGGGAGGTCTGAGAAATGAGGAGATGTAGGCAAAGTGAGGAAGGGGCTTTGAGAAAAACAAATTAATCCTGATATATAAAACTAAGATAAATTTGGTGAATTCCCATTACAATGTCAGGGATTGGCAGGTCTCCAGATTTAAATTATGAAGTAAAGGCAAGAATGGAATCCTGAGGATGATTTTAGAGATTCTCTGGAGAGATGTCTTTCCCAACCCCAAACTGTGACATTAATTCATATACAGCACAAAAGAACCCTCTTGGAAACATGCCAGGGATCTGGGGCACAGAAATAGATGTGCAAACAGAAATAACCCAGAAAGGAGCCTCAGGGCCTCTCCTGTCCTTGGTTTAAAAACTTTATGGAAAGAACCTGTCTCCAGACTGAAAACAGCAATTATGGGAGACCAAATTAAGTTCCTGGTTCTTTCTGGTTACACCACCTGACTGAGGCTATGAGCCTACAGAGAAAGGTATTCCTTGGGTTTGCAAGTCATACCAACTCTGGTGCCCACTAAGCAGGTGGCTTATTACACAGTGGCCAAGGCCCAGACCATCAGAAAGCCTGTTTGAGACTTCATGGCAAGGGAGAAAAATCATCCCAGACTACTGTTTCTGGACTTAAGAAGTTTCCTTCTTCCATTCTCCCTTTATTTTTCTAGCATAGCACCACGTTTTCAAACAATCAAAAAAATTTGGAGTACTCATAGGAATAACCCAAAAGGAAAGTGGCCTATGGTTTCTCAACTCATTCCAGGCAAGGCTGTGACTTCGCCGTCAGTCTCCCAAAGTCCAGCTTCATGTATTACCAGGAAATTTCCCTCCTCCATCCTAAGATGGCTTTCAATTAATACCTTCGATGATCAATACTGTACCATACTGTATAGTCCATTTACCCCTCATTTTTTTCCACTTAATTTCCATAGCAAACATGTAAATGAGGTAAATAATATTATCCCCATTTGACGGATGAGGAAATAAAACCAAGTCCCTTAAGCTTAAAAGTGAGACGCTTCTGTTTATAACACATATCTGGGATCTTGCACAGGTCATGTGTGAATAAAGTGAGAGTATAAAATGAGGGTTGTAGAGTTTTACAAGGGCACGCATGGACTGTGTCAAACCTGACGTCCTCATGATGCAAGCGCAAATGCTGTGAATGCCTCTTGATTTTCAGAATTAAGAGGGAGGTGGATTAGAAGTAAGAGAACCATAGCCTTAAGGAACTTTTTTTTTTTTTAAATCCTCAAATGCACTAAAGAAAGAAATGAGATTTAGTTTCTCTAATCTATAAAATATCAATAAGATTTCTTATGCCAAAGATATCTGATGATAAAGATAGTGTGTTACTTTACTACGGAAAGCTTGTAGCTAAAACCAGTAAGTGTGGACCTTGTGACCTCTCCAAGTGTTGTAAGAAGCTCACTGGTGAGCTCAAGGCAGAAGTGAAATCTTATTCTAGATCCCCCGTGAAGTGTTAGCATAGGGCTCTGAACTGAAATGCAACCACTTCTCTTATTACAGAAAACTGGTCTGTCACAATTGTAACTGGATGAACGGGAAGTAGGTTGCTTAGATACGTCAGTAGCAGATTATTTCAGACAGTAGCAACGTACGAAGTGCGAGTTGGTTGCAACGAGCCTGTCCAGTCTTATAACTGCTGAAATGTCCACACTGTAAGAAAGTCCCTTTGCTGTTTTTGTTTTTGTTTTTTCCTTTCCCCCAGATGCACAGACCAAATCAAACGGTTCTGGAAATGATGTCATTTTAGTTGTTCTAAAATGAAATGTGGACAAGGTTCCCCTGGAAGGCCTTTGGTTCAGAGGAACAGTTGATATAATCTATTATTCACCAGCCAGCTCTGATTCATGTGTTATATAACAATGCCATTCCATTAATGGAATCTAATATAATTTGCCAGTTTCCAAGTTGGAGTCTCTCTATCTGCAGTTTCCCACACTTGTAACCTACCGGATTCTCTCAGTGTAGACGAATCTCTAGCTTCTGGTTTTATAATGAGGTGAGTACGCCAAAGTGGTTAAGAATCCAGCTGTCCGGGCACATATCCTGCTTGCACCATTTATTAGCAATTTAGGCAAGTTAGTTAACCTTTCTGAGCTTCAATATCCTCATCTCAAAGATGGGGCTTGATTTAAGAATTAAATGATATAGCCTTCTGATTAAAGGTGGCAGATTTCTCTCTAGAAACCACCCTGAAATGACAGGGAAGATATTTTTAAAATGAAAGACATAATTCTGTGAGGACAAAGACAATGGAAGACAACAGCAACAAAATTCTGGAAACCAGTAAGCAGACAAATGCATGGTAACGGATCCAAGCTGAGAAAGCTGAATCCTAAACTGGAATTGGAGACAGCCCCAAAGCAACCTGGTTCACATGCAGAAGTGCCCCGGAGGCTCAGGCATTGCTGGCAGAGGATCTCTGGAAGTGGGAAGAAAGGCAGGGCCTGAAGCGGCGGCATAGAAACGGCTGGATTGAAATGAGTTGACACAGCTATCTGGAGTAGATTTGATTTTGAGGAAGATTTCCAGGGCGGGCATCGGAATCACCAGGGGAATTAATAAAAGCCCAGGCTTATGGTAGGGGGTCAGGGCCTGTGCCTCTGTAACTCGCCACTGCCTTGGGCCAAACAGAACCAGCCTCCAAGGAGACGCAGGACTGAGCTGGAATTTTCCTGGTCCTCCTGCGCTCCCCCGAGCTCATTCCAGAGATGGAGAATGGGAAGATGAGGCTCCCTGCTGTGCCAACTAGTCCACCAGGCAAATAATGAGGGGACTTGTTATCATCTGGTTGCTCTCTATTCAGAATACAGGTATTTTAACCAGCAATTGTGTAAACTTCTGTTCCACACTCTGTATCAACTACAAGCACACAAAATGTATGCAAAGCATAATGCAATTCACATATACCATAGGTAGTGACATGTACTGTGTCCCTAATATATATATATGTAGAGCATTGATGTCAGAGGCAGTCATTTCATTACATAAAAAGGAACAAAAGCACTTACTTTTAAAAGGGTTAAAATTACCTCGTAATTATCTTAAATCCTCAAATGCACCAAAGAATGAAATGAGATTTAGTTTCTCTAATCTATAAAATACCAATAAGAGTTCTCATGCCAAAGACATCTGATGGTAAAGACAGTGTGTTACTTTACTACTGAAAGCTTGTAGCTAAAACCAGTAAGTGTGGACCTAGAGATCTCTCAAGATGTTGTAAAAGGGACACTGGGATATTATGAATATTATGAGGATTAAATAAGAACGCACGTGAGAGTGCCGAATGTGTATCTTAGGGGTATAGAGAAGGTTTAGTTAAAATTAAAACCAAAAAAACCCCTCAACCTTTCTCCCCGCCAGGTCTCAGGGTGCCTCTGGATGCGATGACTGCATAGACTATGGTTATAGCTCGAGATGGCAGAGATATACATTTCGACTTTATACCTACAGAAAGATGACAGATTTAATTAAAGAATAAAGCAAAACAAATGGAGACCCAAAGAGAATATGCCACCTTTCTGGACTGAAGATGAGAAAAAAGCTCCACAAAAGTACTGTAAACCTAACAACCAAGCAGGCAGTTTTAAGGCATGTGCCCGGAGCACTTCATTTTAGAAATCAGGTTTGCACAGGACACCAATATACTCTGGTCTTACAATCAGAACAGGAGCAGTGCAAGAGAGAAAATAAAGACTACACGATGATTTGCTAGAGGAACAGAGATATTTCCTTAAAAAGATGAAATCCTAACAATGGATCTTGGACTTTGGGATTTTTTTTTTCAAAATTATATTTTGAACATCTTTAACTAAGAGGGGAGAAAAAGATGAGATCTTAG